CTTTCCCACTCTGCCCCTAAGCCCTCCTGACTCAGCGCTGGTGGCAGCCTTGCTCTTCCCGTCCGGCTTCCGCCAGGGTGGGGGTGGGGGTCCAGCTCCTGCACTGGGGGCCCAGCAAGCGGCAAACAGGAAACAGGAGAACAAAACCGCTCCCTGGCCCCCACTCGCCTGCCTCACCCTCACCCTTCCTCCTCCCTTCCTTCTCCCTCCCTCACTCCTGCCCAGCCTTGTAGTCCTCTAGTTCTCCTCCCTCTGCCCCAGCCCCTCTCCCCTCCTGCCCCTCCATCTCCCTCCCCTACTGCCTCCCACCCAATGATCCACCATGACCCACCACCGTGGCTGTCCTTGCAGAGGACGCAGGTGATGGGATGGGGGCGGGCAGGGGGAGGTACCCCTTCTTCAGGCTTCTCCCTTCTGGTGGCTGCCCCTCAAGGGCCCAGCCCTATGGCTCTTCCTCCCTGAATTCCTAGATTTGGGATCAGGGTTGGGCTGGAGTTGCTCCCCCACTGCAGCCTCCCTTCCCTGGCTGCGGGCTAGAATTTGGGTAAAAGATCCAAAGTTGGAGTGAGGGGCTCTGGGCTTGGAGTTCCATGCTGCCATGACAAGTGGACTGCTCTTGGGCCTCCACTGCCTTCCCTGAATATTGGGTCATGGCAGGGGCCCTGGGCCACAGTGAGTGGCTGTGGCGAAAACACGCTGTGAACGGTCAAATGAGACAGAAATGGTGGTGGCGAATACACACCCACTAGCCAAGGCCTCTGCCAGCCCCACCCGGGAAGGGGCCTGGGAAGAGAGAGCCAGGAAGGGGAGGCAGGCAGGGTCTGCCATCTACATGGGCTTCCTGTCTGACTCACAAGCTAGGGTGCGGGGGTGGCCAGCTTGGAATCCATTGTCAGCTTGGTCGTGGCCCCTCTGGGTGGAACAAATGGGCAGGGGGTCCTGGGGAAGAGGGTTGGTCACAATTCCCTACCAGAGGTGGTGGGGCCTCCACCTGCAGCATTAGGGGATATCATAACTCTGGTGGGGGGGTGTTATGATAGTCTGCTCTCAGTGCTGGGCCGTGTGTGTGTGTGTGTGTGTGTGTGTGTGTGTGTGTGTGAACTGAGGGAGTACAGCATCTATGCATGGAATGTGTGTCTCTGGGCAGTGTGTGCATGTCATCTAGCTGCCTTTGTGGGGCGTCTCTGTTGGGTATGTGGGGAGCGTATGGGTGGATACCTAGGGGGTTCTGGTGTGCTTTTAGGGACGCAGTGGGTATGCTTGCAAAAGTGTCTCTGTGGGGTGTGTGGAGCATAGATGCATGGGAGGGTGTCCAAAGTATGTATGCATATGGAAAGGTATCTACACACAGTGTATTTGTGAGGGGGAACAGTGTGTTTATGTGGGGTCTGGGGGCAGAGGGAGAGTGAGTGTGAGTGTGTGTGTGTGTGCATGGGAGAGTTTGGGGTGTATAGATGTGTGTGTGTGTGTGGTGTGGGCCTGTGCAGGGTGGGTAGGGTGTGTGTTTACATGTGTGCATCCGCGAGGAACATGTGTGCCCGAGTGCACGTGAAGCTGGAGGCGCGTGTGTGCCGTAGAGTACAACGTGTGTGGGCCGGGGCACAGGGTGAGTTTTCGTCGTGAGTGGGAGGGTGGGGGGGTGGACGTGCGTGCCCGTATACGGGGTGTGCAGCGTGTGGCTGCGCGGGGGCGCTGTATAGTGCCTCCCGCGTGTGTGTGGGGGTGTGTGTGAGTGTGTGCGATCCGGGCGGCCGCGCACAGGGGCCGCCCCGGAGGGGGAGGCGTCTGCCCTGCGCGACTCGCCGGCGTGTCCGGGCTCAGGCGCCTTCAGCCGGGAGGCGCGGGAGGCGCGGGAGGCGCGGCGCTGCTCCAGCCGTCCTGCCGCCGTCCGCGCGGGCCGTCCGTCCCCTCGGGGCCCCTGGGTCCCGGGCCCGCGGCTCCGGGGGGCGGGCGGGGACCCCCGGGGCCCGCCTGCCAGCCGGGGGGCCGAGGACGCCGCCGGCCGGGCACCGTGGAGCGGCCAGGGGCCCCCGCGCGGCGCGCCCCGCTCCGGAAGCCCGGCCCGCGGCGCACTGGGGCCGGGGCGGAGGCCGGGCCCCGGGGCCCCCGCCGGCCGCGGCGCTCGTGGGCAGCGCCGTGTGGCGCGTGGAGCGCGCGGGGGCCCGGGGCTGGCGCTGGGAGCGCGCCGTCGGCGTGGACTGCAGCGCCCCGGAGCCGCGCTGCCTCTGGCTGCCCTGCCTCGCCCACAGCGACCGCCGCGCGCCGGGGCCGCGCCGCGCCAGGGTGAGCGCAGCCGGGCTGCCGGGCCGGCGGGGGGTGGGGGCGCGGAGAGCAGGGGTCGGGCGTCGTCGGGGCGGGTGGGCCACCAACTCCTCGGGATCCTTGAGCCGAGTGCGCCCTGCATTCTGGGACCGTGCCCCGAAGTCGGGAGTGAGTGAGGAGCTGGAGAGATGCGGGCGAGGGTGGCAGGTTGTGGCTGGGAGCTTTTCCGGGGGTGCTGGATGTGGACCCCCAGTCTGGGTGGTGGCCTGCAGTGGCTCAAGCCTCTTGGTTTATACGCCGCGGAAGGATGGAAGGGACCAGGGTTGTTTGAAGAGATGCTGGGGCACGGAGTCCTGGAGGTCTGCCGGGGCAGGGAGCCGGTCAGAGGCAGGCAAGGGTGTTAGTAAGTGGAGTGGAGGGCACCACTCTGCGTGCTCCCTGGTAGGGGTGGTGGGTACAGGGACACAGGAGGGTTTCCTAGTAGGGCAAAGGAGGCTGAGGTGGCAGGTAATGAGTGATCTCAGGGGGAGAACTGACAGGGCTGGAGATAGGGGGTGGGGACAATGTGTCTGATGTCCGGGATCGACCAGGCTGGTAGGGCGTGAGTCACAGTGGGCGCCATGCCCAGCATGAATGCTGTGCTCCCTGCAATGACCTCTTTATGCTCCTAGGGGGGAGGAGCAGGACTCCTGGGTTCTGGTTCCCGGTGTTGCTAACCCACCACGTGTCCAGTTCTAACTTGTGGCCCTGGGGCCATCTGCCCTCTTCCCACCATCAGCTGGCCTTTCTGGATGTCTCTTTCCTGACACGAGGCTGATAACATTTGGAGATAGATCTGGGCCAGGAAAGCGGTAATCAGTGATGCCCCTGTGTCCCCCCGAGCCTCTCCCTCTCCATCCCCTTGTCTCTGTGCCTCCCCCAGAGAGGCAGAAGTGGGGATATGTGTGAGCTGAACCCCTTCCCAGGCTAGTCGCCTTTCTGTTCCCGTTACTGGCTCCTTCTCTGTTTCTGTGTCTCTCCCCTCCCTCCCTGTCAAGATGAGAGCCGGACCCAGTGTTGTCCCAGGTCAGAGGGGAGGAGAGGAAATGTGTGCATCATAGCATGCAGGATGGAGGTTAAATCCAAGGAAGAACTTCCCACAGGGGAGCCACCAGATCTAGCTGCAGATGGGGACTGTGGTGTCCCCTCTTCAGGCAGGGGTGTAGTAGCTGCGGCAGGGGGATTACACACTGACATTCTCAGAAGCTGAGTGGAAGGGTTGGGGGGAAGGGAGACTGGGAGGAAGGAAAAGAGGAAAGGGAGAGGCAGAGATAAGGGAGGGGGTGCCAGTGGTGTTTGGGTCAAGAGGGGACCTGAGAGAAGAAGGCCTGCCCCCTACCCTGGGTTACAGCCAGGCCCCCAGAGACAGGCACCCCCAGGCACCTGGCAGCCCCAGGCAGGATGTGTGCTGGAGGAGGGGTGGGGGGCGTGTGGGGACCTGTCCCAGCCACTTCTCATCACTGGGGCAGCTGGTGGCTTAAACCTTAATCCAGGACACCGGCAAAACAATGGGCCCTGCGAACAGCCTCAGCGCTGAGCCCTGAGCCCGGGTAGAGGGCGTGCAGGGGAGGCAGCCCACACTGGGGAGGAGCAGGGGCTTCTGGTAGGAGCAGGCAGGGAGGGTCCCCCAGGCCCTCTTCTCTCCCTGATCAGTTCCTTGCCAGGTCAGCAGAGATAGGAAATCCAGGGGATTTCAGATCTCGGGAGAATTCCCAGAGAATTTTCTCCTCTGGACTCTTCAGACCCCTCATGGGGGTGTGGGGCTCAGTGGAACTGGAGGGGCTATAGCTACAAGTGGAAGGAGCCAAGGGGTCATCTCTGGGCCTCCTGTCCCAAGCTGGAATCTCAGCCAAGGCCTCCCGGCCTGGGGGGCACCCAGCTTTTGCTCCGACCCTTCAGCGGAGTGAGCACTCACAACCTCATCTGGAGGCTTTCCAGATGGATATGATTAGAATGGTCTCCCTGGCCTGGAGCCTCGCTCGGGCCCCCTGTACCTTACACCTGGCTGTGTTCTCTGGGACTGCATGAAGCAAGCTTACTGCCTCTGTCATGTTTTTCTTTCATCTTCTGAGACTTGAGGTTCCACCCCCTCTCCCAAGTCTGTCTGACTACAGTCCCATTTCCCACCCCACACAGAAATCCCTAGCAAGGGCGCCTGGGTGGCTCAGTTGTTAAGCATCTGCCTTCGGCTCAGGTCATGATCCCAGGGTCCTGGGATCAAGCCCCACATCGGGCTCCCTGCTCAGCTGGGAGCCTGCTTCTCCCTCTCCCTCTCCCCCTACCCCCTGCTCGTGCTCTCTCTCTCAAACAAATAACATCTTTAAAAAAAAAAAAAAGGGAGAAGAAAAGAAAAAAGAAATCCCTAGCAAAAGGGCTGGGCCCAGGGCTGCCTTCCACCAGAAGTGTGAACAGGCTGGGGGATGGATTCATGAAGGAGCGTCTTAGTATCAGTTCATCCGAGTCGCAAATGTGAACTTTTTCCAGCTGTTAGATGGGGGAGAAGGGGACTTAGTGGGGCAGGGGGAGTCCTCACCCCAGGGCTGGTGGGCTTCTTCCCTCTACACCCAGTTGCCTTTGTTCCCCTGAGGACTCCTGCCTGGTGCCAAGGAGGAGTGGGGGGTTGAGGACTGTCGAGGGTGGGGGTGAAGGGGCTTCTTGCCCTCTGAGGTTTGGATGAGGGCCCTCAGATAGGTTAGGATGCCTGCGGTTGGAGGTTAAAGAATGCTGAGGAAGGCATCCTGGCTTTTCACCATCTTCTCCAATCTGCCATCCGTCGCCCTGGGCACGCATCTGTCTGACACCCTTCTGTCACCCACTATCCCTCTCTGTGTCTGAGCAGGGAACCTGAAGCCAGAGCTGTCTCTCAGGCGGTGTCCGTGCTCTTCTCTTGCTTGCCCCAGAAGCAGACCTGGGTGCCCCCCAACCCTGGTCTTCAGACATCCTCTGCCATGTCATCTTGGGGAATCCCAAGTATTCCATCGGGCCGGCCAGAGGGCAGCGGAGTGTCTCTCCCACCCCCACCCGGTTCCCCTCTTAGATCCAGGGAACAGCCAGGCCACTGGCTGGGCTCCGGAGCCTCAGGAAGTCCCTTCAGTTGTCTGGTGTCCAGGCCGCTCCCTCGTGGCTCCAGCCCCCCACCTGTTGTAGTTGCTGCTCCTGAAGGATGTGCACGTGTGTGTCTGTATGTCTGCGGCATGTGCCGTGTGCCTGGGTCTGTGTGTACGTGCGTGTGTGAGGCCCTGATCATGTGCGACCGTGTGTGCACGTGTTTGTCTAACCTAGGTGTGCGTGTGTATACTCCTCTGTGGGTCCATCCGTGTGCACCTTGGCACAAGAGTGTGCTTCTCTGGGTGTGTGGTGTGTTCCGTCTGCAGGAGTGCGTGTGGATGTGTCTGTGTCTGCATAAGTGTGTGTGTGCGTGTGTGCGCGTGTGAGATGGTGCAGCAGCGGCAGTGAGCGCAGATGGCTGCAGGCACCCCCCGGGCGAGAAGCTGTGTGTCCAGCGTCCGGAGCATAGTAGGTGCTCAGTGAACGTTCGCCCAGCTGACCTGGATGAATACCTGGCTGGCTGGAGGGAGCCGGTTCCCTGGAGGCAAAGCCCTCATGAGGGGATGGAGGGGAAAGAAAGCAAGCAGCAGCTTTGGGCTGGTGAGGGTGGCAGAGGAAGGAAGGGGGCGAGGAGGAGGTCAGGAGCAGGGGAGGGGCCTGGAACCCCCCCCCCGCACACGCCCCCCCCCCCCCCCCGCTGCCCCAGTCCCTCCTCCCGGCCGCGGGAGGCGGTGTGCTGACTTGGGAGCGTGGGCCACGCGGCCACTCAACCCTGTCTCGCTGTGCTCCCACAGCTGCCCCTGGGCCCGAGAGATGGGTGCTCCCCTGGGCGCCCCCTCCCCTGGCAGGGGCCGCGGACCCTGCTGCTGCACAAAAGTCTCCAGGACGGCTTTGGCTTCACCCTGCGCCACTTCATCGTGTACCCGCCCGAGTCCGCCGTGCACTGCAGCCTGAAGGTACACCCGCCTGGCCCCGCCCCCGCTGCCCTGGCCGGCCCGCGGAAGCTTCAATGAGGGGCGGGGAGGGGAGAGCCCTTTGCCCCGCCCCCTCCACAGCCCTTCTCCTAGGGCCTGGGCGAGGGTCCCTGAGGGGCAGGGACAGCCCTGGCTGGGTCGTTTGCATTGTGTGAGTGTGGACAAGCTCCTTAACTGCTCTGGGTTTGGTCTTACCAGGAGAAGGGGCAGGGTGGATGGTTCTGGGCAAGGAACTCGTGGGGGGAGCCAGGATGCTCATGCCCACCCCCAGACTCTTGGCCTCTGGAAAGTGAACAACCTTCCCTGAGACATGGAGTTCTGGGGACTCTTTGTCCTCTTTGGCCACTTCTTAGCTGGGTTTGTTGCCCTCTCCCTGGCCTGAGCTCTTGGGGAGTTTGTTTTTGTTTTGTTTTCTTAATTTTTTAATTTTAATTTTAATTTTTTTATTCTTATGTTAATCCCCATACATTACATCATTAGTTTTAGATGAAGTGTTCCATGATTCATTGTTTGTGCATAACACCCAGTGCTCCATGCAGAATGTGCCCTCCTCAATACCCACCACCAGGCTAACCCATCCTCCCACCCCCCCTCCCCCTAGAACCCTGTTTGTTTTTCAGAGTCCATCGTCTCTCATGGTTCGTCTACCCCTCCGATTTCCCCCGCTTCATTCTTCCCCTCCCGCTACCTTCTTCTTCTTCTTTTTTTTTTCTTAACATATATAGCATTATTTGTTTCAGAGGTACAGATCTGAGATTCAACAGTCTTGCACAATTCACAGCGCTTACCAGAGCACATACCCTCTTGGGGAGTTTGTTTTAACCCACCTCTGGGACTCCTGGAGTGCCCCAGCCCACCCTGGCCTAGGCTCTGTGCTCTGGAGAGCACCAGGCTGGGAGGAGGGTGCCGTGGGTTCTAATCCCGCTGCAGCTCCTACCTCACTGTGGATCTTGAGGTGGAGTCACTCTTCTCTGGGCTCCATTTCTCCTGCTGTAATGTGAGGGCATTTATCTACTTGACCCCCAAGAGCCCTTCTGGCCCTAATATAAATGTCAGGTTCTCTGAGTCCTGGAACCAGGGTTGTGGCGCCCAGCATACAGCGTGGGCTGAGCGGGGAGGGCCTCCCTGCCCGTGAAGGAGGGTGAAGCAGGCTGGCAGGAAGACATGAGGGGGCCCTAGGCAGGAACCAGGGCTCCCCAGGAGGGCCCTGCTCCCTCCCCCAGCTCTCTCCCAGCAGGGGAGGAAACAGATTTATTTTGGAGTCAGTGAACCCCATTCTCCCCTTCCTTCAGGGCTGGGACCAGCTGTTGGGGGCTCTCCCTTGGGAAGCTCAGTCCCATCTGCCAGAGAACCAAGGCCTTGGGTTTCACTGTCTGTGTCTGTGGACTTGCATGGCTCTCTGTGTGTAGTCAGGTGCTCAGTATACTAGTCATGTGCATGTGTGTTTGTCTATCTGGACATGTGCATACGGGTATCTGTAAGTGTGCATCTCGTCCCTCATCCATGTGTGAATCTGGGAGCACCTGCATAAACGATTCCCATTGTCTGCAATTGTGCTTAAGAGTGTAAATGGAGGGTGATGGTATGTGAGAAGGGCCCAGTCCCCCCTTGACGCCCAAGGACCCCAGCCTCCTAGGTCCCTGGAACCTCCAGTCCTTCCTGCCCTTTTTCCCCAGAATGTCCCTCCCACCTGGCCCCTGCCACCTTCTCTCAGGGAACCCTGCCGAGGGGTGACCGGTACGGAAGCAGCCTGAGTGGTCGAGGCTGGGTGGTAGGCCTGGCTCAGAGAGACCTCGTGCATGTGGGGCGCTGGAAGACCCCAGGCAGGGCAGGCCAGGGACAGGCTCCATCCCATTTCCAGAACCTGCCCAGGGGTGGGAGCCCTCCGGGAGCTCAGCTGTCTAAATGCATCCGTCTGTCTCTGCCACGAGCTCACTCTGCTGTCAGGTCACATCAGCTGGCACGCACACTCCACTCGGGGAGGGGCAGGGGCAGAAGGACTGCTCTCCAGCAGTGCCCAGCGGCTTCGTGTCCTGGGGTGCCAGAGAGTCCTGGGTTTCAGCCCTGCTTCTGCCACTGCTTCTGAGTGGCCTTGGACAAGTCACGCCCTGTCATCTGCTGTGGGATGGATGGTCTGTGGAGCATGGTAGATCAGATGACACCCAGCATCGCGTCCAGCTCTAATGTGCCACGTCCTGCTGCCCTGTCCTGTCTCCCTGACCTCCTTTCCCTCATTTCTGTTTCCTCCCCAAATCCGGTACTCCCTCCTCACTACGAGGATGATCCCAGAGGCCTCCCTAGTGGGTCTCCTGGACTCCATTTCTTAGCCTTGCTAGATGTTAGAATCCTCTTCCTAACTGGTATTTCACATCCACTCTCTCCCACCCAGGAACCTTCACTGGCTCCCTCTTTCTCTCCTTTCTACCCCACACGCTTTAGTTTGACTTCTGGCACTTGCTGGTGTTGCTTTCTCCTTCAGCTCAGCTGATCCAGTCCCACAAATGCTTGCTTCTTTCTGCCACCCAGCGCCCGCCTTCATACACCCCTCCCCTGCCCCAGAGCGCCCTTTCCCCTCCCTCCTCAAACTTGCCTTAAAATCCCCTCCCCCAGAGGGGTGCTAATCAGGCCTTCCCTGCCATTCTCTAAGAGCTGATAGCCACTGTTTGCACTTGTCCTGCCTGCTTATCAGTGTCTGCCTGGATCCTCTCTGTGGGTTAGCGCGTTTGGAACGGCCTCCATCGGGCTTTGAGTTCCCCAACTAAAGGGGTCATGGGTCCCCCATTGGATTGGAGGCTTTCAGATGGCTGAGATACAAGGCTATGGGATCAGCAGTCACGAGAGAGGGTTCATATTACTGGGGAATATTGCCTGGGACTTGATGTCCCCACTGACACCCCCCCCCGGCCCCCTCTGGGCATTGGGCTAGTTGCAGGAAGATAAGAGGGAGGCTGCTGGGTGGGGGAGCTTGAGGGGCCCGCCCAGGTGGAGCTGCTGAGGGCTGGATGGAGGGTCCACACCCACCTCTCTGTCCCCTGCAGGAGGAAGAGAATGGAGGCCGAGGAGGAGGAGGTAAGGAGTGGTGGGGATGGGTGCCAGGGCTGGGGCTGAGCTGGGAACTGTCCTCTAGCTTCTGTTTCTCCCCCTCTACCCCAAGTCAGCCTGGATTTTGCTACCCACCCCCCACTGTTGTTCCAGTCTTTGCTCTTCTCTGTGTCCACTCTGGATATCTGCTCTCTCTCTCTCTCAATCCTTCTTTTCTTTTCTCACATTTCTCTCCCTCTGGACCTGTCCATTCCACACTGGGAGCAGGGGGTGCTCTGGGGAGCAGATGGCTCTCTAAGACCTGGCCCCTGGCCCCTGGGAGTTACTCCCAGCCTAGACTGAGGCACAGACAGGCCTGCAGAGCCTGGGGGCTGGTGATAGGGTGCACTTGACCAATGGCTGTCCTCAGGGATAGAGACACTGGGGTTCTATTGTGTGTAAAGGGAACCCTGAGGTCTTTATCTTTTCAGATGTGGGCCTAACTCCCCTGGTTGTCACCCTTGCTAGACCAAGGGGCCCCTTTCTGCCACCCAGGGTATTCAAGACGGGCAGCCTTCTTTCTCTGCCACAGGGGCTTCTGCTGGGCAGCCCGTCGAGGAGGCCCATGGGGGTGAGGGCAAGAACCAGCTGACTTAGAACAGGCTCATTCCTCTGATGGAGACAGTTAGCTGCAGAGGATAATTGTTGGGGTGTAATGTGATGTCACAAGGGGGGAGTGTCCATCTCGGGATCTGAAGGCCTCTGCTTAGGCGCCCCCCCGACTCTGGGGAAGGGATGGGGAGGGAGGTACAGGCATTGAGTGTCTGTGAGCTGCGGGGCCTTTCTGTGGCTCTCCCCAGGTCTGTGGGTGCGGACCTTCTGCCCCGCTGGTCGGGGAGCTCCAGGAGGGCAAGGCCCACGTCTGTCCGTCTGTCTGTATTAGTCTGCTTTCTGGCACAGTGCTGGGGCGCGAGAGGCATTTAAGGAGTGACCCTGTGTGTCCGTGTAGGTTTTCTTCCACATGGGTTTTTGTTCTGCCAGGGGTGTGTCCTCTTGTCTCCCCCCATGCATCTACGTCTCTATGAACGTGCAGGTCCATATTTGTGTCCGTGTGAGTGTGATCCTTCTCTGAGCGTGTGTCCCCTGTGTGTGTAGCTGTGCATGGGTGTGATCTTCAGCAGCCACCCCCAGCTAACCTGGCTGATGCCCACCAGGACCCTCCCCCCGGCACCACCGCCTGGAGCCCATGGATACCATCTTTGTCAAGAATGTGAAGGATGACGGCCCCGCCCATAGAGCGGGCCTGCGCACTGGTGAGCTGTCCGGGGTACCCAGCTCCTGGTGCTTCCCTGGGTCTCTTCTCCCTACCCTCTCAGGAAGGGCCTCTGCCACCCCTTGGCCTGCACACATTGCGACCCTGCCCCTTTTCTCCAGGAGACCGGCTGGTGAAGGTGAATGGGGAGAGCGTCATTGGGAAGACCTACTCCCAGGTCATAGCTCTGATCCAGAATAGGTGAGCGCCCCCTGCCTCCCTTCTCCTGTAATAGCTCCCAGCCCACTCACCGAGTCCCTGCACCCCACCCCCTTGACCCTGGGGGGTGCCCTGGCGACCAGGATCCCTGTTCTCCCAGACCCTGTTGCCTCAGCCTGGACTGACCCCCTGCCCTGTCTCTGTAGCGATGATACTCTGGAGCTCTCCATCATGCCCAAGGACGAAGACATCCTCCAGCTGGTGAGTCCTGCCCTGCTGTCTGAGGTGGAGGGCCACCGGGGCCTGGGGGCATGATACATCCCTTCCCCTCAGGCCTCCCTTCTGCATTGGACACTTTGGGAGGCAAAGAAGAGTGTCGGGGGCAGCACCGGCCCGGCATTGCCCAATCGGGGCTGCCAGGCCCATCCCTGGGCTGAGGCTGGTTGTTGCTTCAATCAGGACTGCTCTCTGTGCTGGGGGAGGGGGAGGGGGAGGCGGCCTTGGCAGGCAGGATTCCTGCCAGGGTATCTGGAAGGAGGGTGGCCCAGCAGGCCCTGCCAGACTGGCACGTTCTTGTCGGCTCCCAGGAGTCTTTTCTCCACACCCCCTCCCTGCCTGGCCCCGAGTGAGCATGTCTCTTGTAGATGTGTCCACACACACACACACTCTCCACTCCACCTTCCAGTGCTCCCGTTCACACCCATGCACCACTCCATGAACCCCATGCACCACTCGATGCACAAGCAGAACACGCTAGATACACAGCCACACAACAGAGCCCCACAGCACCTACCCGTCCTCCAGCTCACCAGACACCGCACGACGCCGTATCCCAGATACGCCTCCCCAGGCCCGTGCGGCGACGCACACAGGCACATCCCCCCACATCCTCAAGCCTCCCAGTACACAAACATCAAAACAGCACAACTGTCACAGCACACGTACCCCGACGTCTCACCACCATGTGAACACTCACTGACGTCACAGGGGCTCGCTGTGGTCACGGCACGTGCGCCCACAGACATCACAGCATGCTGCGGGCCCGGGACCGGCTCAGGACGCACGGGCCAGGTGCCCCTCCCTCTTTGGGCACTTCAGCAACACCCAGAACCTGATCCGGGGCTGCCACGCACAGAGCAGGCACCCAGACTGCATGCAGGGTACCCTGCCCCACACACTCTGTGCACACACGCACACACACACTTGCACACTCTCTGTGCACCCTGATCCCAGTCCTGGCCCAGAGCTCAGGCCAGTCCTCTCTGCCCAGTGTCCAGTTTCCTGATCTCATGGGTCTCAGCCAGATGCCAGCTTGCTTGCCCCCAAGGTCACTGCCCCCCAGGGGAAGGCTGAGGGCCAAACCCAGGAGGCCCTGGGAGCCGCCGGGCTGGCTTCTGCCCCGGATGTGCTCGCATAATCACACTAATCACAGTGCCATGCTTGGCACCATGCCCCTCTGGGAACCTCCACCCTCTGACCTGGATTGTCCCCTCGTCCTTCCTGGGGAGGGGGACGTAAGGCTGGAGGCTCAGAGAGGTGGATGGGCTCCCCACGAGTCTCAAAGGCCCTGCGGGTACACTTCCCCCAGGCTGAGGCGAGGCCAGCAATGAGGGAGTGACAGGGCGGCATCTCGGGCTTCCCAGGATCCCTCCGGCCTTCCCGGAGGGCGACGGCAGGGTGGGGAAAGCAGCAGCCTTGAGCTCTGTTACCCAGAGAGGTCCGAGGTTGAGGTCCGAGGTTGAGGTCCGGGTGGGCAGGCAGCCCCAGATGTCAGCATCTGGGGCCCTGCGCCGGCCCCCCACCATCCCGGGCCAGCCAGAGGGTGGGGCCCAGGCATTCCTGTGGTTGGGAGCCAAGGCTGGAGGCCAATGGGGCCTCGGCAGCTGCTGACGCCACCGCCGACGCGGCGAGGCCCCTCCACACCCATCTCCCCCTCCCTCCTCCTCCTCCTGAGAGAGAGAGAGAGAGAGAGAACGCGCGAGTGCGCGCGAGAGCGCCGGTGGGGGCCGAAGGCGGCCACAGGGAGGGCAGACTGGGGGTGGGGGGGCTCGGAGGCTGGGCCAGCACGGTGGTCAGTGGGGGTTAGCCCGGAGCCGGGCGAGGGCGGAGGCTGGCCGAGATGCTGCCGCCGCCCTGAGGCGGGGAGGCTGGGGAGCCGGCAGGATGGCAGGAGGGAGAGGTATGTGAGTGTCGCCGGCTGGGTGTGTGGGTCTGACGGGGGCTGAGTGTGTATGTGGGGGGGTGTGGTCTAACTTGTCCTCATCACTTGATGTGTGTGCCTGGGACCCGAGGTATAGTTATTTGTGCGTGTCTGTGTCTCATTGTGTTTCGCTCTGTGTGTGTGTGTCTTTGGGTGTGTATTTTCCGGGATCTCCTTGTGGTGTGGCACACACATGCTCGCGCGCGCCCATGCGTGAGTGTGTCTGTGGGTCTCACCCTCCCAGCCTTTGATACCTCGCCCTGCGATAGGCCCCCCGACACCCAACAAGGGCCAGGCTAGGCCAGGGCCACAAGGCCGCTGTCCCTGGGGGCTGCCTCCTTTTTTGGCTGGGCCTGGGCACCGGCCCTGTCACTCCTCAGCAATGCAGCGTCAGCCTCAGCTCCCAGTGCCAGATTCCAGGCCTGGGGTGGCAGAAGGTGGCCCAAGGCCCCTCAGGCAGTCTGGCCCCTCCCCCAAGCCTGGCCCAGAGGGAGCGAGAGGTGGGCAAGTTCTCCTCACGCCAGCTCCCCGTCCAGGGGATGGAGGGACGGCTGGGTTTTCCCAGCCCCAGCCCACCCCACCGTGGACACACCCCTTCATTGGCTTCCCTCTGTCTCCGGCCACCTTGACTGGTCTCCGGTGGGGTTTCCCAGCTCTGCCAGAGGGGCTGTGGGCACTGTTGGATATAAGGAAGCAGGGAGGCGGCTGAGGCCAGCGTGGGGGGAGGACCAGAGAAAACAGATGTTGGAATGTTTGTGGCTAAAGGCAGTCCTTGTCATAAGTCTTAGAGAAATCCTGGCTATTTCTCCAGTGAGAGAGAGAGAAAGAGTGTGTGTGTGTGTGTGTGTGTGAGAGAGAGAGACTCTCAAAGGCCTCTAATTTCTTTGTTCTCTCCCTCCCTTCCCCCCGACTCTCTTTGGAGCATGCCCTCCCTCTCCCACCCACTCAGGGCTCCCCCTGCTTGGTCCTTTCCCTCAGTCCCCTTCTCTGGGGTCTTGATCTCCCAGGGCTGCTGTAGATCTTCCTTGTGGGACTCGTCCTGCCCTGCTCACCTGCCTCTGTGTCCCCGGCCAGGCCTACTCCCAGGATGCCTACCTGAAGGGGAACGAGCCGTATTCTGGAGAGGCCCGGAGCATCCCAGAGCCACCCCCAATCTGCTACCCTCGCAAGACTTATGCCCCGCCAGCCCGGGTCTCCACCTGGGCCACTATGGTGCCTGAGCCCCTCTCAGCACTGCCCGGTGACCCCCGGAGTCCTGCCGCCTGGAGTGACCCGGGGCCCCGCGTCCCTTCTGCCGCCCGCACCCATCCGGACAACTCTTCCTTGGGGATGAGCCAGCCCCGCTCCAGCCCTGGTGCCTTCCCCCGCCTCCCCTCGGAGCCCCGGACGCCCCGTGCCTTCCCTGAGCCTGGCGGCCGGGTGCCCCCCAGCAGACTGGAGTGCCAGCAGGCCTTGTCACACTGGCTGTCAAACCAGGTACCCCGCAGGGCGGGGGAGAGACGGTGCCCTGCCATGCCCCCCCGGGCCCGCAGTGCCTCCCAGGACCGGTTGGAGGATGTGACTGCCCACCGCCCATGGCCCTGTTCCACCTCCCAGGGTGCCTTGAGCCAGTTGGGTCAGGAAGGCTGGCACCGAGCTCGCTCAGACGACTACTTGAGCCGGACCACCCGCTCCGCCGAGGCACTGGGGCCAGGAGCACTGGTGTCGCCCCGTTTTGAGCGCTGCGGCTGGGCTTCCCAGCGTCCGTCTGCCCGCACCTCTGCCTGCTCCCCCAGGGACCTCCCCGCGCCCCAGGCCCCACCCCCACCTGGTCTCCAAGGCCTGGATGACATCGGGTACATTGGATACCGGAGCTACAGTCCATCATTCCAGCGCCGGACTGGCCTCCTGCACGCACTCTCCTTCCGGGACACACCCTTTGGGGGGCTGCCCACCTTCAACCTGGCTCAGTCCCCGGCATCGTTCCCACCGGAGGCCTCCGAACCGCCCAGGGTTGTCCGCCCGGAACCCAGCACCCGGGCTCTGGAGCCTCCCACTGAGGATCGTCGCGACGAGGTGGTCCTGAGGCAGAAGCCTCCCACAGGCCGCAAGGTCCAGCTGCCCCCTGCAAGACAGATGAACCTTGGGTTTGGGGAAGAGTCCCCAGAGCCAGAGACCAGTGGGCGAGTAGAACGCCTGGGCAGGAAGGTGGCCCCTTTGGCCACTACTGAAGACTCTCTGGCTTCCATCCCTTTCATTGGTGAGTGATGGTACAGGTGGCTGTCTTGGGAGACTTGGTCATCTGTGCCCTGCTGTACCCCAGCCACCTGTCACCATGGGTGGAACTCTGGGTTGAGTGCTGATGGGATCAGTCTGTTTCTCTCTGTCCGTCCATCCATCCATCCATCCATCCATCCTTCCGTGCTCTCTTGCATCCTTCTGTCATCCTTTCTTCTGTTCATTTCTCCTCCAGCCATCTGTCCTCCCTCCCTCCCATTCTTCCTTCTCTCCCTTTCTATTCAGCTCTCTGTTTTTACTTCCTTTTGTCTTTCCTTCCTTCTCTCCCTCCCTCCTTCCTTTCATCTACCCATCCACCCACCCACCCACCCACTTGCCCACCTATTCATCATTTTTCTTCTTTCCTTCTCCCTTTCTTTCTCCTTCTTCCCTTTGTTCATTCATTTCTCCCTTCCATCCCTCCATCCTTTCTTTTTTCTACCCTTCCTTTGTTCCTTCCACTCTTCGTTCCTTCCATCCACCCTCCACCCATCCATTCATCCAACAAATATTTGTGTGAGGCACTGTGCAAGGCTCTGTGCTCTCCTGGAGTGTGTGGTCCAGCGGCAGGGACAGATGATGGGACAAGAACAGCCCCATGGGGTGTGTGTGTGTGTGTGTGATGGGAGTACAGGGAGCTCTCGAACAGAGAAGAGTGACATGGCCTAGACTGGGGCGTGGTAGCCAAGGAGAGAATCTTGGAGAAAGGAGATTAGGGCTAAGTCTTGAAGAATGAGAAGGAGTTAGCCAGGGGGAATGTTGAGGGAGAGAATAGAATATGCCAAGACCCTGAAGTGAGAGAGGCGGGGTACCCTTGCAGGTCACCAGAACGGGTCCAGAGGGGCCGTCAGTCTCTGGGGAATTTGGACTTTATCCTGAGAGCAGAGGGGACACTGAAGGCTTGCTGCCCGGGGAACAGATGTTGGGTAAGGGAGAGGCAAGAGAGTGGAGAAGCTGGGTGATTCCCAGGTTTCTGGCCTAGCTAGAGGGTTGTGTCTCACCTCCATATTGGGAATGAGAGTGGGGCAGGACAAGGTTTAGGGTTTCTCACTGTATCCATGAGGGTGCAGGATGGGCTGGGTCTAGGGGCTTGAGAGAAAGACCAGATGCCACATCATGAGACTGGGAGCCAGGAGCCGAGAGATGGTACCTGGAGCTGAGCACGGTGAGCTCACCCTATGTGCAGTCATGGGAATGAGGGAGAAGAGGCCAGACCAGGGAGAGGAGACCCAGCCCTGGCCTCCCCTGGCCGGCCTTTGGTCTGAGTAGGCAGACACAGCCTTATTAAGTTCCTGGTCTCGGGGGAGAGGTGAAGCCTTTATTTTCAAACTACTCCCAGTCTGAGGGAGAAACATAGCACTGCCCTCAAGGAGCCCCCAAGAGATGGAGGGAGACAGTCTTTATCTTTAAGAGACTCCCAGTCTAGGAGCCCAGTCTAGGGAGGGTGGCTCAGTCTCATGCCTGGGTCACCTCGGTGTGAAGGGGAGGCAGGGGCTGAGCCTCCATGCTCACAGTCTGGGGCGTGGGAGCCCCTTGGCCATGGGCATATTACCAGCAGGGCCTTGGAGGACTTGAGCCTTGGGGATGTGGTCTGGGCCTGGAGGTGGGGCTGGGGGTGGGGGGCAGGCAGGTTTAGCTTTCGGCCACCTTTATCCACCACCCGCTCTGCTTGTAGATGAACCCACCAGCCCCAGCATTGACCTCCAAGCCAAGCATGTCCCTGCCTCTGCTGTGGTCTCCAGCGCCATGAATTCAGCCCCCGTCCTGGGCACCAGCCCATCCTCCCCAACCTTCACCTTTGCCCTCGGCCGCCATTACTCCCAGGACTGCAGTGAGTGCTCCCTGAACCCCAGCCCCGTCCTCTCCCTTGCTGCCTGGTCCTCGGGGGTCTCCGCGGGGCCTGCTGCCTGATGTCTGGCCTCTCCCTGCTGGCTTCTGCTACCCCTGGGGCCCCAGGGGTAGAGCCACCTCCTGGCCCGGGGAGCCCCCCACCCCCGCCGCCCTGCTGACCCTGTGGCCCAATGCGGGCGTTTTACAGGCAGCATCAAGGCTGGGCGCCGCTCCTCCTACCTGCTGGCCATCACCACAGAGCGCTCCAAGTCCTGTGACGACGGGCTCAACGCCTTCCGGGAAGAGGGCAGGGCTCTGAGGTGAGGACGGGGTGCAGCCGTCGCGGCACAACCACCCCGACTGGGTGTCCTCTACACACCAGGGCAGTGAGCGCCCCCCTCCCTGGAAGGCTCCTGAGCCTTGGGATTTGGGGGGAAGTCCTCGCCGTGCTTCCCACATTCTTCACGCTCCGTTCTCACTCCCCAGGCGCCTGCCAAACCGAGTACCCAGCCTGCGGATGCTGCGAAGCTTCTTCACTGACGGGGTGAGTGGTGAGTGTGTGTGCGTGCACGCGCGAGCGTCGGGGGGCTGGGACCCTGTGGTCATCTGTGCCCTGCTGTACCCCAGCCACCTGTCACCATGGGTGGAACTCTGGGTTGAGTGCTGATGGGATCAGTCTGTTTCTCTCTGTCCGTCCATCCATCCATCCATCCATCCATCCATCCATCCATCCATCCATCCATCCTTCCATCCTTCTGTGCTCTCTTGCATCCTTCTGTCATCCTTTCTTCTGTTCATTTCTCCTCCAGCCATCTGTCCTCCCTCCCTTCCATTCTTCCTTCTCTCCCTTTCTATTCAGCTGTTTTTACTTCCTTTTGTCTTTCCTTCCTTCTCTCCCTCCCTCCTTCCTTTCATCTACCCATCCACCCACCCACCCACTTGCCCACCTATTCATCATTTTTCTTCTTTCCTTCTCCCTTTCTTTCTCCTCCTTCCCTTTGTTCATTCATTTCTCCCTTCCATCCCTCCATCCTTTCTTTTTTCTATCCTTCCTTTGTTCCGCTGCGGAGCCCAGTGAGCGGGGCTGGTCTCCTCTGGCTCCTGTCTCCCCTCCCCCACCTCCGCGCCCGATCCCCCTGGCCACGTGGGCTCCGTCATCGCTTCAAGACACCTGCACCCTCCCACCCCAGGCCGTGGCCCTTGCCGGTCCCCCATCCGGAACCCCCCTCCACAGCCACATGACTCCCTTGGTTACTTTCTTCAGGTTTTCTCGAACTTTTCTGAGATGTTAGCCTTCATCCCTGACGTGTCATGCCTCCCTTCGGCACCTCGTTTTTTCTCCTCAGCCCCCCTCCTGTGAGAGGGTTTATGCACATGTCTCCTCTCTTGCCCGTGTCCCAGCTAGCATGTGAGCTCCGCGAGGACAGGGGTCTCCCTCGGCCAGCCTGCTCCCCGGGGGTACCCAAAACTGCCCGCACCGGCCAGCACCGGGCAGCATGTGCGTGGTGTCTTTTTTTTTTTTTTTTAAAGATTTTATTTATTTGACAGAGAGACACAGCGAGAGAGGGAACACAAGCAGGGGGAGTGGGAGAGGGAGAAGCAGGCTTCCCACGGAGCAGGGAGCCCGATGTGGGGCTTGATCCCAGGACCCTGGGATCATGACCTGAGCCGAAGGCAGACGCTTAACGACTGAGCCACCCAGGTGCCCCTGTGCATGGTGTCTTTAGGGGACAGGGGACATGGGACAGGAGGGGGACCCGGGATTGAGAGTGACGGACAGGCTCCGCACCTGGGGACGCCCTGGGCTCCGTTCTGAGATGGCCTTCGCTCTTTGTGATTACGGACACCCTGGAGAAGCCATCTGATCTCAAACCCTCGGTATCTTCGGTTCATTTGACACCTTGAGGACATTGTCACCTGGCTCGCTCCTTATCACTTCCTCTGCTTACTGAACTCTCCCTTGACCTGTCACCATGTTGACACTATCACTTCCTCCGTTTAACTCCTTGTGGGCAGGACTACCTGCTCCACTAGGTCAGCCTCTGTTGATGTTTCTACTTCCTCTGTTTATTTAACTCCAAGTCAACACAATCACTTCCTCTGTTTCCTTAGTTTCTTCAAGTCTATAAAGTGGTGGGAGGTTCCAGATTGGCTTTTCTAGCGTGGTGAGGCATGTGCTCGGCAGGTCACGGCCTTTCCTCCTTTCTGGCTTCCTCAGCACATGCGTCCCATGACCTCAGCGCCGTGGTCCAGAGAGGGCAGGCGGGGCCTGTGAGGCCACACAGCACAGCAGCCTGGGAGGCTGCGCGAGGCCCATGGGGCTCCTGGCATGCTGGCACCGTGGGAGCCACCCTAAGTTGCCCTCTGTTGTCTCACTGCAGTCCTTGGATAGCTGGGGCACTTCCGAAGATGCGGAGGCTCCCTCTAAGCGCCACTCGACCTCTGACCTCTCGGACGCAACCTTCAGCGATATCAGGAGAGAAGGCTGGTTGTGTTATAAGCAGGTCCTCACCAAGAAGGGGAAGGTAAGGTGCTTGCTGGAATGAGGTGGAGGTGGATGGAAGCCGTCTCCGGCAGAACTCTCCAGCTTCTGCACCCACCCCGCAGCCTCTGGAGCCAAAGAGAACCAGCCGAGGCTGTAGCATGAGGGGTGGAGGTTAGATGCCAGGAAGAACTTCCTGGGGGACCTAAAGAACTCATGGAAAAGAGGTTAACCAGAGAGATGGGCTCTGCTGTGCCATGGGTACGGTCAGTGTGCCTGAAATTCAGACGGAACCACCCCACAGTGATGCTTGGTTGGCAAATCACCCCAAAGATGGACATGGGGGCTCATGGAAAGTAAGGGAGCAAGGCCAGGGTGATTCTTTTAGGGGAGCTGAGACCCCAGAAGAAGGCAGAAGTCAGCCTTTTCAGGGTCTTGCAGGATGAGGAGAGATTTCAGTCTCTGTCCCGAGGGCAACTGAAGGCCCTGGGGCCTCTTTCATTCGGCTTCCTGGGGAATGAATTAGAGAGGGGCCGACCTGAGGCAAGAAGACCAGTTAAGAGCCACCACAGCGATCCAGGTGAGCGATGGAAATGGCTGGGCCGTGGGTGACAAACAGGATCCCAGCGTGAGAGGGCGGGGCCCCTGGGTCCACGGAGTAGGGAGGCCTTTCCAGGCTGTGCTGAGGCTAAGGAGGAAGGAGACGCCGCCCAGGCAGAGCTGAGCAGAGTGGTTAGCATAAACCTGGGCTTGGCCCGTGACTGCATCATGCCTTGCTGAGGGAGCTTGGGTGACTCAGCTGTCTATGACTCAGTTTCCTCGTCTGTAAATAGAGCTAACAACAACCCCTAGCATATACACCTGTTGCTGGGGATTAAACGAGTTAACCCGAGCAAAAGTGTATGTGGGGCCTGGCCAGGGAGCTCTTCTGCTATGATTCAAATTTTCCGCCCTGCCTTCTAGAGGTCTTGTACCTGGGGAGAGAACATCAGCTTTAAAGTCAGACAGACATGGGGCGCCTGGGTGGCTCAGTTGGTTAAGCGACTGCCTTCGGCTCAGGTCATGATCCTGGAGTCCCGGGATCGAGTCCCGCATCGGGCTCCCTGCTTGGCAGGGAGTCTGCTTCTCCCTCTGACCCTCCTCCCTCTCATGCTCTCTGTCTCTCATTCTCTCTGTCTCAAATAAATAAATAAAATCTTAAAAAAAAAAAAAAAAAAGTCAGACAGACATGGAGTTCCTGCCTGGCCACTCATGGCCAGCATAAGGCTTTGGGCAGCCTCCCCCGCTCTGTGCCACACTTTTCCAATCTGTAAGATAGGGACAGGGTTATCTTGCACCCTGGGCCGGTGTGAGGTGAAGTGAGCTGGGTAGGTCAGGCGGGGGTGGTCATTCAGCCGTGCCCTCATCCAGTCCGTGGTAATGACCGAGTGCCTGCCGTGCTCCCGGTTCGTGGTCGAGGTTCTGGGTATTTCGTGGAGAGGGAGCCAGGCCGGTCCTGCCTGCTGGGGCTCAGGACGAGCCAAGAAAGCACATGGTGCATAATAGTTGCCAGTGCGTGACTGTCACAGGGGAGGAGCGGAGTGGCGTGGGTGGAGTGACCCCAATCTCGGCGGGGTGCAGGAAGGTGTCCAGGAGGCTGTGACATGAAGGGTGTGTGAGAATCCACAAAGCAGGGAGAGAGGTGAGTGCTCTGACAGCGGAGATGCCCTCCTGGATGGTCTGGGGGGTACGGAGGGCGTGCTGGGTGGCTTCGAGCCAGGCTGAGGGGAGAAGCTGAGGTGAGGAGTCTGGCGCCGGCTCGCGGGGCCTCATCCCCCATGGCAAGCCTTTGCAGGGGTTCCCATGGGCGTGGGAGGTGTGTAAGCCTAGGAGGCAAGGGTCTGTGATAGGAGAAGATAAGGGCATTGCTGTTGTCCAGGTGAGCAAGGGTGGGGGCCCTGACCGAGGTCCTGGCATGGGGCCGACGGGAAGGGACAATTTGGAGAGATCAAGGGAGGGATGGCCTGGGCTTGCTGATGGCTGGGAGGTGAGAGAGGATAGAGGAGGCAGATGATGGCTATGGGGGTGATGGGGCCTTCCCCTGAGCCACAAGGCACTGGAGGGGCAGGTTTGGTGAGAGGAAGCCAAGGGTTCCTTTGGCGACTTGTGGAGTCCAAGGGCCCTGGGACATGGAGGTGTCCTGGGGAGAGAGGCTCCGGGGGCATGGCACTTGGGAAGGAGTCCATCGAGGTGTGCACGGGTGCGTGGGAGAGCATGGAAGGAGAAGGCGAGAGACTGGCTGCACCTTGAGAGGACATGGGGAATGCAGACCAAGGAGGAAAGCCAGCAAGATGGCAGGAGGGCTTGCCTAGGAGGGACAGCAGGGGCCAGCTGTGTGAGCTGAGGAAGGGGGGCCAGGGTGGCAAACCCTTCCAGCCCAAAGTTGGAGCCTCTCTGAGGAACTGGGGAGGACAGCTGACTCCTGCCCGCCGGGTAGCCTGGTCCCCGGCTCTGGATGGCCCCCGGCAGCCCCACCACAGCGTCTCCCGGGCAGGGAGGGGAGATGGCTCCTTCCTGCTCACTGACCAGTTCTGGAGGACAGGACCTTCCACTCTAGGCTCAGCCAGCACCCAATTTCACTTGTCCCCTCAGTGCTGTGGCCTGGGAGTTAGGAGAGGTGTCCTCAAGTCAGCTTCAAGCCCTTAGTCTGTCCAGGGAACTGATTGCCAGGCACATGTTGTCTGCTCTGGCAAGTCTAGCCTCTCCTGGGTGACCCCCTCCCACTCCCCAGCCTCTTTCAGAGGCCATTTGCTGTCGGGCAGAGGAGGGGCGGGTGTGACAGGTCCCTGCGGTCACAGACCTAGTATTTGAGCTGAATGTAACCTTGGTGACCAGCTAGTACATTTTTCATTTTACCAATAGGGAACACTGATGCCAAGGGAGGGGGCTTGACTCGTCCAAGGTCACCTAGCTGGTTTGGTCTCCAAGGGGCCCCTTGCCACCACTTCAGTCTGATATAAAAAAATCCCCTGGAGGGCCATGCTGTCTCCTGCTCCGACGATCCTGTCTGGTCCAGCAGGTCTGTGGTGGTGGGCGGGGCTCATGGCTGCGTGTGGCTGTGTTACCTGCCAGCCGTGGAAACTCCTCACCTGGTTTGTTCAGAGGGCAGAGGCCCATGGTGGGAGTAGTAGGTAGGCCACCAGCCCAAGGGAGGGAGCCCTCGGTCTGATGGGGGAGATGGAGCCTCTGCCTTCAGCATGCTCCGGGGATGATTCATTCATTCATTCAGTGAATATTGATGAGCACTTACCCCACACCCGTGGACGCTCTAGGCTCTTGGATGTGGACAGGAGCGGAGAGACAAGCTCCCTGCCCCCAGGAGAGATCCACAACCAGCCCAACTGGAGGTTGCAGTAAGCACTCAGGGAAAATGAACCGGTGTGATTGGCTTCAAGTTTGGAGGTAGCAGGGAGGTGCCTTTAGAAAAAAAGGGTCAGAGAAGGCCTCACTGAGGAGGTGATATTCGTGACATTTGAGCTCAGACCTAAAGGGCAAGAAGGAGACCACATGGAGAAGCGAGAGAAGGGGCTCCTGGCCGAAGGAACAGCAAGAGCAAAGGCCCCAAGAAAGGAAAGGGTTGGCTTGTTCACTAGAGAAGGCCCTTGTGTCTTGACACGGTGAGAAAGACGTTGGTGGAGAAGTTGAGTTTGGAGAGGGAGGGACACACCACGAAAGTTCTTAGATTTGATGCCATTGATGGCAGGAACCCACGAGAGGGTGTAAGCAGGGGAGAGACATGATCTCATTTACATTTCAAAACGGTGGCTGCAGGGACGACTGGGTGGCTCAGCTGGTTAAGCGTCTACCTTCGGCTCAGGTCATGATCTCGGGGTCCTGGGATGGGGCCCCTCATCAGGCTCCCTGCTCAGCCGGGAGTCTGCTTCTCCCTCTGACCCTCCCCGCTCTTGTGTTCTCTCCCTCTCTCTAATAAATAAATAAAATCTTTAAAAAAACAAAATGAGGGCTGCAGGGGTGCCTGTCTGGCTCAGTCGGTAGAGGGTGCATCTCTTGGTCTCAGGGTCATGAGTTCGAGCCCCACATTGGGTGTAATTACTTAAAAAACATGGTGGCCGAAGCTGCTGGGTGGAGAGTGGATTACAGGAGGCGAGGGTGGGGACTGGGAAGGTTTGTGTAGTTGTCCAGGTAAGAGGTGGTGGGGTGGACAAGGTGCTGGGTAGCAGGAAAGATGGAGACACGTGGTATTTTGGAAGCAGAACAGCTGTGACATTCTGATGGGTTGGATGTCAAGGGTGAGGAAAAGGGAGGGGTCAAGGGCAACTCTCAGGTTTCTGGGCGTCTGGGTGGATTTACTGAGCTGGAGAAGTTGAGCAGGGGTTGCTGTGGAGAATAAGTCTGATGGCAAAAATCAAGTGCCCCATGGAGAGCAGGTACTGTGCAGAGTGCCTACAGGACATGCAAGTGGGGACACTGAGCAGGGGGTGGGAGGTGCAGGACTGTGACTGGGGGGGAAGGGGGGGATGCCAGACCAGGGATACATTTGGGAATCACCGTCAGCAGACAGATGGGATTTAAAGCCACAGGCATGGATGACATCACGGGAGAGGCATGCAGGGAAAGGGGAGCCCAGGACAAAGTTCTGAAGCACCCCCCTCCTGTACGGCAGGGTCTTAACCCAACTCTAGTGACATGTGGGGCCAGATGATTCTTTGTTGTGGGGTGCTGTCTTGGACATCGGGGGATGTTTAGCAACATCCTTGGCCTCTCCCCTCTAGATGCCATAGTACTTCCCCAGGTGTGACAACTGAAAATGTCTCCATACAAATGTCCCCCTGGGCACCATTCGCCCCCGTTGAGAACCGCCGGTGAGAGGATGTTGTGGGGAAGGAAACCAGCGGAGGAGACCGAGAAGGAGCCAGTGGAATTAGGAGGAAAAACAGGGACCCTGGGGTGCCAAGAGAGGGTTTAGAGAAGGAAGGAGCGGCAGGCCGGGCCACATGCCTCAGAGAGGTTAAGGAAAGGGCGGGGAAGGACGGAGAAGATGCCCCTGGCTTTGGCAACACGGGGGGCCTGCGTGGCCAGGATACTGGGTAGAGCCTTGAGCGAGAGGCCAAAGAGCAGGGAGAGCAGGTGCAGTGGACGATTCTTGACCAGTTGCTGTGCAGGGGGCAGTATGTGGACTAGGAGTGGCTTTACAAGGATTTTATGTAAGGTGGGCCATGCTGCGGGGGGCCGCGGCTTCTGTGGGGCATTGCGGATGTCAGATGCCCTTGATGGCAGGATTGAAAGGTGCTACTATTGAAAGGAAGATTAGGGACCCTGGGGGGTGGGGACACGGAGAACGATGGGTGGGGGCGTCCAGGCGGCGGAGCGGCTGGGCAGGAGGTGGGGCGGGGCCCCCACCGCTGTGGCCGCCCGCAGCTCTCCTAGGCCCCCCACCCTCCCGCGGGCTGTGGGGGCGGGGAGGGCAGGCCTGGCCTCTCACGCCCTCCCCTCTCCCGTCTCTCCCCCTCCCCCTGTCTCCCTGCAGAAAGCGGGCGGCGGCCTGCGCCAGTGGAAGCGGGTGTACGCCGCGCTGCGGGCGCGCTCGCTCTCGCTGAGCAAGGAGCGGCGGGAGCCCGGGCCGGCGGCGGCGGGGGCGGCGGCGGCCGTCGCAGGTGAGGACGAGGCGGCGCCCGTCTGCATCGGCTCCTGCCTGGTGGACATCTCCTACAGCGAGACCAAGAGGAGGCACGTGTTCCGGCTGACCACCGCTGACTTCTGTGAATATCTCTTTCAGGCTGAGGACCGGGATGACATGCTGGGCTGGATCAGAGCGATCCGAGAGAACAGCAGGGCCGAGGGCGAGGTGAGGGCCCGGCCGCCCACCCGGGGCCTGGGCTGACGGGGAACGGGTGGGGGGCCCCAGGGCCGCCCCTCACCCGCCGTGGACCTCGTCAACCTCTCTGAGCCTCAGTCCCCTCGTCCGTAAAATGGGCTAAGCGGAGCGGGCCTTGAGCTCCACCCACCTGGGCTTTGGTGTGAAGAGAACACGCAGACAGTGGCTCCCAGAGCCCCTGGCACCCTCCGTGTTCCCTGGCTGGCAGTAACAGTAATAACTGGAGGAATGACACTGATGATTATTATTATCATTATTAACTATTATTATTACTGCCTTGGGCGGGCTCTGGCACAGAGAGGTCAGCTCCAGGCCAACCTCAGATTGGGGTTCAGGAAGCAGGGGTTTCTTCTGGAGGGTGTTACAGAAGGAGGTGCCCGGGGCCAGAACTGTGGCTGGCACTGCTGACGGGGCTGGCCTGTCAGCGGGGCACGAACACATTGACCTTGGGAGGAGGCCAAGAGGATTGGCCTTTGGCAGCAGGCTGCACTGGGTTGAGCCAGAGGCTTTGGCAGGGATTTCAGAGTAATTTTTAAATGGCGCCCCCTCTTGGGCAGCTGCACCTGCACACCAGGAGCCTGGGCTGGGGTGTCCGCTGCCCCTCTCCCCCTTGGCCAGCTGCCTGCACAGTGGTGTGTCGGCACACCTGCACGGATTTCACGTGGGGGTCCTGGGCTCAGGGGCTGGTCTCTGCCCGAGGATGGTGGGCCTGGGCCCTGGTCCACGTGTGCACCTGCTCTGGCCATGGGGAGAGGGGCCCTAGTACAGAGCTCCTGGGCCACAGACCCTCTCACTGAGGGGAGACCCGTCCTCTTGCTGAACCAGGCTCTGCTCTCCTCAGAACATTGTCTTTCCTTACTGTGGGGAGGAAAGTGCCTGGAATCTGTGGCCCCTGCTCTGGGGGGCCTGGCTGGGCTGTCCCCAGCAGGGCATAGTCAGGGGGGTCCCAAGTGACCTTCATTATTGCAGTAGCTGCCTGTCATGGGGCACATCCTCTGTGTCTTGCCAGGAATGCGATCAGTGCTACATGCGTAATTCTGCACCCCAGCCCTGAGGTTGCCGTATTATCTCCTTTGCTACTATGGAAGAGACTGAGGCTCAGAGAGGCTAGTGGGTTACTCTAGGTCACACAGCTGGTGAGGGGGCGCTCAGGAGTCCAGCCCTGGTCTTTCTCGCTCCAGGGTGTGAGCCCTCCAGCTGACAGATGGAGGAGAGAGGGGAGGCAAAGCGGAGGCTGGGGCCAGGGATGAGACCTGAGTTGGCTGGCTGTGGGCACTGATAGGGTCTATTTTTTCTTTCCTCTCCTCCAGGACCCCGGCTGTGCCAACCAAGCTCTGATCAGCAAGAAGCTTAATGATTATCGCAAAGTAAGGTGAGGCCCGCCTCTCCTAAACAGTCCTGGCCAGGGGGTAGGGGCACTCCAGACAGAGGTCATCCTCCTGGCCCACCTCTAGGCCTGAGGGCAGCCCCTGAGTCACCCTATGCTGGGGGCAGGCAGGGTGGCAGGGGCATCGAACCCATTGCTTCAGGGATGGAGAGGGAGGTCCAGAGTGGTAGGAGGCTAGGGCAGGTGGCATGTTGGGTCACGCCAGATGAAGACTTCTCCTCTCCCCCTTTTCCTACACAGCCATAGCTCTGGGCCCAAAGCTGATTCCTCCCCCAAAATCTCTCGTGGCCTGGGGGGCCTCAAGTCTGAGTTCCTCAAACAGAGTACTGCACGTGGCCTCAGGACTCAGGACCAGCCTGCAGGGAGCAAGGGTAGGAAGGTGGCTGCTAAGGGGGTAATGTGTGTGTGTGCGTGTGCACGTGGGACGGTGGGGGTCAGCCCTGTGGGTCTGCATGGGAGCTGAGGGCGTGTGTGTGTGTGTGTGTGTGTGTGTGTTGTGGGGGGTGGGTGCCTGTGAGGGTCTGGGGGCTCTCAGCGTCTCAGGGCTGGAAGGGCCTGGAACCTCATTTCCCTCCATGACATCCCAGCTGGGTAGCCTCCAAGTCTCTGCTCGTATCTCTTCAGGAGCAGGAGGCTCATCCTCTCTGGAGGCAGCCTTTTCCATCTTTATACACTTCGGGCTACTAGAAAGTTCTTTCTTTGGTCGTACCAGAATCTAGGGCTCCCACCTTGTTGTTTTAGCCCTTGAGACCACATAGAAGTCCTTACGTTCCTCTGTGGCATGCGTCCTCAGGACCACACACCCTCATGTCTTAGATCTTCCCTCAGGATATAATTTTCCATCAGCCCTCAGCATTCCAGTAGCTTCTCTGATGGAGTCCCCATATGTCCAAACATGGGTGAGTGTGTGTGGCCAAGTGTGGTTGCTGCCCCTCCCCAGGCCCCCCCCCCCCCCCCCCCGGGCTCACCTGGCTTTGTCTGCCTTCCCCCACCCCAGATGACAGTGCTGCCCCTCCCAAAACCCCCTGGGGCATCAACATCATCAAGAAGAACAAGAAGGCAGCCCCTAGGGCTTTTGGGGTCCGGCTGGAGGAGTGCCAGCCGGCCATAGAGAACCAGGTGAGTCGCGCCATACTCCGGAGGGCGCGGGGAACGGGGGAGCCCAAGGCGCAGAGGGCCAGAGCTGAGGGACTCTGGAACCAGCGCTCCATCTCATCTTGCAGACCCAGTGGTAGGAGGGGTGGGGGAGCACCCAGGGAGGGAACAGCAGAGCTGAGGCAGAACCCAGAATCGCTGGCCTGCAGCTGGGCGAGGCTCTGGTGTTCTGTCTAGCCCCCAGACTGGAGGCCGTCCCGCACGGGGCTCCCAGCAGCTCTGGGCTTGCGCGGCTCCGGTCTTGGCCTTCCTGCCTCTTCTGGCCCACTGGGGGGAGTTCCTGCCCTTCGCCTTCCTAACGTGCCTGCCCTGCCTGTGTCCCCAGCGGGTCCCCCTGATCGTGGCCGCGTGCTGTCGCATTGTGGAGGCACGGGGGCTGGAATCCACGGGCATTTACCGAGTGCCAGGCAACAATGCAGTGGTGTCCAGCCTGCAGGAGCAGCTCAACCGTGGGCCCGGTGACATCAACCTGCAGGATGAGGTGGGTGCGGCGGGGGAGGGGCGGGGGGGGCAAGGTGCTGTGTGTGTGTCTCTTGTGGTCATCGGACCCTGCGATGTGCCTGGCAGTGAGCCAGGGCCCCGAGATGGGCGAGGCAGACCTGCCCCGGCAAGCCGGATAGAGACACGCTCATGGCCGGGCAGCCCTGAGGCCGAGGCTCGCAGGTGATAGTTTCGGGGGCCTTGAGGACGAACAGCGTTCACTAAGTGCCCGTGAAAGCCGGGTAGGGACATCCCAGGCTGAGGGAATGGCCGGGGCAAAGGCGCGGGCTCTGAAGGGTCACCAGCAGCCAGCTCACCTTCTCTGTAAAGGGCCAGGTGGCGAACGCTTTAGGCTTTGGTCACCACGCGGTCTCTTCCTCCTCCTCCTCCTTCTTCTTCACAGCCCTTTAAACACATAAAAACCCTTCTTAGCTCCAGGGCCATACGGAACCAGGCCACTGGCTGGACTTGAGCTCCGGGCTGTGGTTTGCGGACCCCTGGCTTAGAGGGGGGCATGGGGCATTTTGTGGGGCAGCCAGCACTTTGCATCGTTGCAGCCGGGGTCAGGAGGGGCTGGTCGGGTGGCACAAAGCCGGCTGGGGAAGGAATCTGACAGCCACACTTAAGAGCTCGCAGCCGGTTATATGTCAGTTATGGCTCAGTGAAGCCGGAAAAAAGCCAAAAACGTATTTCAGTGTGAAAAAGAAAAAATAACAGAAGTATTTGCAGCAGGGCCAATGTTTCTTTTCTTTCTTTTTTTTTTTTTAAAGATTTTATTTATTATTTATCTGAGACAGAGAGAATGAGAGAGACAGAGAGCACACGAGAGGGGGTAGGGTCAGAGGGAGAAGCAGGCTCCCTGCCGAGCAGGGAGCCCGATGCGGGACTCGATCCAGGAACTCCAGGATCATGACCTGAGCCGAAGGCAGTCGCTTAACCAACTGAGACACCCAGGCGCCCAGGGCCAATGTTTCTCAAACTGTGTTCCCCAGAGGAGCTGTGGGAGGCCGGGAACAGGTCAGGAGCCCCCATCCTTGCTTGAACTAGACTAATCTGCTTTGTTCTGTTTGTTTGTTTGTTTTTTTAATGTCATATTTTCATATTGGGTTTTCATGTTTGACGAAAGGAGCTCTGCTGAGAAAGATATTTTGGAAAACCGCAGATCTGGGCAATGAAGTCCCATGAGTCCCATATTGTGAAGCTTTATGTGATACATGACAGTCTTCCTGCCCCTGGGGAGGAAATGGGGAGACATGACATGCGGGATAGTAGCCAAGAGAAAAGGCTGATCTCTCACCAGGGACCAGACTGTGTGATGAGGAAGGAGAAGATGTTGAGGGCTGGAGCAGGTGGGAAACTTGAGTGTTGGAATCTGTGAAGGATGAATGGGAGGGGGCAGGTGGACAAGAAGGCAGTCCCGGCTGGGAATGATGGCATTTTCCAAAATCCCAGAGGAGGGTCTAAGTGTCGGGAGAGAACAGACCCACCTCCTGCCTCCTTCCTGGGCTTGGCGGTGGGGAGGGTGAGGCCCAGGGCAGGAGACAGAGGGCTTTTGATGGCTCCACTGAAGCCTTTGACCTTGATCCAGTAGACAATAGGGAGCTTTCCCTTGTTCTTCAGCTGGGGAGGCATAAATGAGAGTGGTGTCTGCTCTAGCTTATGCCTGATGGATATGAATGAGGGGGGCTGTGATGAGGAAGGAGAAGATGTTGAGGGCTGGAGCAGGTGGGAAACTTGAGTGTTGGAATCTTTGAAGGATGAATGGGAGGGGGCAGGTGGACAAGAAGGCAGTCCCGGCTGGGAATGATGGCATTTTCCAAAACCCCAGAGGAGGGTCTGAGTGTCGGGAGAGAACAGACCCACCTCCTGCCTCCTTCCTGGGCTTGGCGGTGGGGAGGGTGAGGCCCAGGGCAGGAGGCAGAGGGCTTTTGATGGCTCCACTGAAGCCTTTGACCTTGATCCGGTAGACAGTAGGGAGCTTTCCCTTGTTCTTCAGCTGGGGAGGCATAAATGAGAGTGGGGTCTGCTCTAGCTTATGCCCGATGGATATGAATGAGGGGGGCCCAGAGCGGGCATCTGTGGGAGAATTGCTGATATGTGGGAAGTGCAAGGGGCCAGGAGGACGTGGTGGTCCCAGGGGAATAAGGAGGATGGGAGCAGCTCTAGGAGTTGGCCACAGGAGAGGGAGGAAGGGGGGGCAGGGAAGAGCCCACATTTGAGCTGGGGGCTGGTGATGTGTCTCTGGCAGAAACTGGGGAGCGGGGCCGGAGAGGGAGGATGTATCGGGTAGGGGCCCCGCTGGATTTGGGGTGATGGTGCAATAGACACTGCCCAAGAGTTGACTGGAGGATGGGTGTGGTCATGCTGGGGCACAGAGTGGGACGACGGAGGGAGCTGCTAGATGGGCAGAGGGTGGGCAGCAGGAGTGAAAGGCCGGGCTCCGCGTGGGACAGAGGAGAGGGTGCAGGTAAGGCTGGGGATGAGGGGCAGATACGTGCACATGGGAGTGGTCCAGAAGCCTTGGGTTTGGCAGCTGGGAGATGAGAAGAGCCCATGCCTCGGGCCAGGAAGTGATGGGGCAGGTGGGCAGGGGCTGCAGTGGGAAGGGGTGGGTATGCACTGAAGCACATTCGCTGGGCCTTAGCCAGGAAAGAAGCATGGCCGGAGCTGGGGGGGCAGCTGGCCCAAGTCAGGGCCCAGAATGTGGGCATGCCGAGTGTGTCGGGTGTGTAGTTTTGTCTCAGACATCAGTTCTGTCCTTTCTCGTGGGGACTGCTGGAAGTTAATTTTTTTTTTTAATTTTTAAAAAAGATTGTATTTATTTATTTATTTGAGAGAGAGTGAGAAAGCATGAGCAGGGGGAAGGGGCAGAGGGAGAAACAGACTCCCTGCTGATCAGGGAGCCTGATGCCCAGGACCCTGGGATCGTGACCTGAGCCGAAGGCAGATGCTTAACCAACTGAGCCACTCAGTTAAGTATTGTGGGCAGGGTGACTGTAACTCCTCCTGAGCCTGAGGGGAGGGTATTGTTTGTGGGATGGTGTGGCATTAAGCTGTGGACCCACTGTACAGAGCCTGTATGTTGTGGAGCTGTATGTCTTTGTGGAGAGAGCCTTACCTTGTGTTGTGGGCCTGAGTTACTCGGAGCCGTTCCTGTCAAGGCTGTTACCCTTGACTTTGTGCAGGGTGGTGGTGCCCCCTGGTGGTCAGAGGGGGCAATGCCCCGGCCATGCTTCATTCGTTCTTGAGTTCAACAACCCATTTATTTAGAACAGGATTTCTCAATCTTTTTTTTTTTTTTAAAGATTTTATTTATTTATTTGACAGAGAGAGACACAGCGAGAGAGGGAACACAAGCAGGGGGAGGGGGAGAGGGAGAAGCAGGCTTCCCGCAGAGCAGGGAGCCCGATGCGGGGCTCGATCCCAGGACCCCGGGACCATGACCTGAGCCGAAGGCAGATGCTTAACAACTGAGCCATCCAGGCGCCCCCAGGGTTTCTCAATCTTGACACTTTGGGCAGAATAGTTCTTGGTCGTGGGAAGTTGTCCTGTGCATCACAGAAAGTTTAAAGGCATCCCCGGACTCTACCCGCTGGATGCCAGTGGCACCCCCCGCAGTTGTGGAAACCAACGTGGTTCTAGAATATCACCAAATGTCCCTGGGGGGGGGGGTGATTCTGCTCCTGGGGAGAACTACTGATTTAGACCATTGAAGTGCCGGGCTAACTGAGCTCGCCAGGTGGTAGGAGCACAGTGGGGGACGGGGCAGACAGGATCCCTGCTCCTCAGGGAGCTGCAGGCCCGCAGACAGATAGGCAGGGACGAGCAGACAAATGCATACAACAGTGACCAAGTGTGGCAAGTGCCATGAAGGAAACAAAGTCAGGGCTGCTGCACAAGTGACAGGGCGGTGGCGGCGGTGGCTGTGTTAGCTGGGACTGTCAGGGAAGGCCTCCCGGAAGCGGTGACATTTGGGCAGGGTGAGGAGCCAGGCCTGTGAAGGCAGGGGAGGAAAGTTGTAGTGGAGGGAATCGGCCAGTGCAAAAGGCCTGAGACAGGAGGATGCCAGGCGTGAGCGACTGCTGTGTCATGCATAAGGAGAGGGGGGTGTCCAAGGATGACTCTCTGCTAAATGGGGAGCCCTGAGGGGCAGGAGGGGGCGCTATAAGGCCCAAAGAGGTCCAATCACCAAGGAGGTTTTGCTCACTTCTGTCCCACAGTGCTGGCGCTAAAGAAGGTAGCTGGTACTTTCTGGGGGTAGGCAAAAAGCCCACTGGGCTTGCTGGAGCAGGGAGGGGGTTGGGCCAGTTGGTCAAGGGGCCAGGACCCAGCTGGGGACTGTTCTGCCACCACCACCCTGATGAGTCTTCTTAGCCCAGAGATCCCTGGTCTGGGCGGAGCTGTGAGTGTACCCCAGGGAGGGCCTGGGCTGGGCTGGGCTGGACTCTGGGGCTGGACTAGCATGGAGACGTGGGCGCCCCGCTGGACCTGCCTGGGGCCTGACGTCCTTGCCTTCTCCCCAGCGCTGGCAAGACCTCAATGTGATCAGCAGCCTGCTCAAGTCCTTCTTTCGAAAGCTGCCTGAGCCTCTTTTCACCGATGGTGAGTAGCAGGTGGCAGTGGGAATGGGAGGAGGAGGGACGCCTGTCTATGCTGCACTCCGATCGTTTTTTAAATTGGGTTTCTTGGCTTTACTCTTTGGGGTTTTGTTTTAAGGCAAGAGAAACACGTGCTTGTCACATAGTATAGATTCAAGTAAAGCACAGAGGTCCCTGTCCCCAGAGGTTATCCTAGCACTTTCTGAGCACCAGCTATGTGCCAGGCACTGCTCCCTCCAGCAACCCCATGAGGTCCTGTGTCTCCACTGTACAGACGAGGAAACGAAGATGAAGTGATTTGCCCAAGGTCACCCAGGTTGTAAGTGTCGGAGACAGCCTTCGGCCCTGGCAGCTGGCTCCAGAGCCCAGCTAATCACTCCCCTATGGATAGGTATTTAGGCTGTTTTCGATTTTTGCTCTTACAAAAAATGGTTGCAACGACTTTCCCTAATGTGTTCCTGCATGCCTGGATCAGTGTCCTCGAGGTAGATTCCTAGACGTAGCATTTCTAGGTCAAAGTCCTGGTCGCCATTTTTGGAAGCTAATGTCAAGTTGCCCTCTGAGAAGAAGGCCCTACTTCACACTCTTGCCAACAGCCTAGGAGGGAATTTGCTTCCGCGCACCCCCATCAACCCTGGATGTCATCAATACTTTACATTTTTGTTAATTGGAAGAGAAATGTCATCTCATTACTGTTTCCATTTTTGTTTCTTTCATTACTAGGGAAATTCACTATCTTTTCATTAATTTATTGGCCTTTTCTGTTTCCTCTCATTTCCTGTTCGACTGTGTGCCCATTTTCCTATTGGGTTGTCTTTTTTGGTATTGATTTGTAGGACACAAGCTCTTGTATAGTATAGGTATTAACCCTTTGTTAGTTTTGGCAGTAGTTTGTTCCTGCTCTGTCATTTGCCTATGAACTTTGCATGGTAAGGAACTGGAAACAATTATTTTAAGTGTAGTCAAAGCTGTTGGTCTTCAATGGATTCTGCATCTCACATTGGGGAGGGCCTCATGATTGTGAAGATATTTTCTTGTTTTTCCCAATATTTTAATGACTTTTACTTTTGGCTCTGTAATGCAATTAAATTTGTTTGCATATTATGTGAGCTGGAAATGGATTTTTGTTCCTCCAACAAGATAGCTAGTTGTCCCAGGGACATTTATTGACACCTGCATTCTTCCCCGCTGATTTCAAATACTGCCTTTGTCACATAGTAAACATCCATGTGGCCTCTTCCCCTCCTTTCTGTGTCCTCATCCTTGGTTAGCTCTCCCCATGAGTCCCACACCACTGTGGTGGGCTATGGTTTTAGTCCATTTCTGTATCTGATAGGGCACATCCTCCCTCGTCATTCTTCCTGTACAAAATATCCTCAGCTATCCGTATGCATTTATTCATCAGATGAATTTTAGAATAAACTTACCATGTTCCATTTTTTTAAAGTTCCCCTTGGGCTTCTTCTGAAGGGAGTTGGGGGCATCTTGACCCAGGTGGGGTGGGCATCTGGAGGCTGAAAGGCCCCTCCCTCTTTCTAGGTAACCTTCTCTTCTGACCTTGAGATGTTCTTGTCCCAGATGCTGGGGCAAGAACCCCTCTTCCAGTATCAACATGCAGCTCAGGTCTTATTTCTTCCCAAACAAACACACCTGGGCTACCCCAAGTCAGGTGCACGCCTGAGTGTCACTGTAGTGGATTTGATCTTGTGGACACAAGGCCACAGATCTCCCCCCCACCCCCCCGAACTGGAACAGCCTGGGCCTCCTCAGCTTGGAAGCAGCCCACCCCGAGAGTGGGAAAAGGGACTGCCTCCCGCCTCTCTAAAGAGTCTTCACTGTGTTCTAGACAAATACAACGACTTCATTGAGGCCAATCGCATCGAAGACTCAAGGGAGCGGATGAAGACGCTCCGGAAGCTGGTAAGGAGACAGAGACACCCTTAGGCAGAAGGCAGACGAGGCTGGGAGAGCACCACTGCCCTGGGAGGCCTGGAGTCCAATGCCACCAATTCCTTCTGTGACCTTGAAGAGGCCCTTCTCCTCTCTGGGCCTCAGTTTCTCCATCTATCCAACAGGGCTGGTTAGAGGGTGGCTTCCAGACCCGCGAGATATGGCAATGGGAACCCCTGTGGGGCGTGGTGGGAAGGTGGGGCAGCCATCACAGCCCCATGCCCCTTCTCACTGCTACCCAGATCCGGGATCTCCCAGGACACTACTATGAAACGCTCAAATTCCTCGTGGGCCATCTGAAGACCATTGCTGACCACTCGGAGAAAAACAAGGTGGGGGGATGCTGGCGTGGAGTGTGGGGGAAGGAAGCATATAGGGTCCTTTCAGCATACTCTAAGCTCCTCCAGGTCAGATAATCCCAAGGCCCTCTAGGCACACCCTCCTCAGAGGTCATTCTGTCCCCACCCCACCCCTCTGTGCTTCTCCCCTGGAGAGCCATCTCCTGAGTTTCTGAGGGCCTCCCAGAGGATGGAAATCTATCCTTGGATCTAGCTCAAATCCCTTGCATTGCATTTTTCTTTTCTTTTCTTTTTTAAGATTTTATTTATTTATTTGACAGAGAGAGAGAGAGATAGTGAGAACAGGAACACAAGCAGGGGGAGAGGGAGAGGGAGAAGCAGACTCCCTACTGAGCAGGGAGCCCGATGTGGGGCTCGATACCAGGACCCCAGGATCATGACCTGAGCCGAAGGCAGATGCTTAATGACTGAGCCACCCAGGCACCCACATCTTTCTTTTCTTTTTAAAACGATTTTAAGTAATCTCTACACTCAACATGGGGCTCGAGCTCACAACCTCAAGATCAAGAGTCACATACTCTACAGACTGAGCCAGCCAGGTGCCCCGCATTGCATTTTTCTAATCAAGCCTCTATATCTTCTGATTCTGCAGCAGGGAAAATGAATGGAGCTATAGGAATTCTCCCAGTTTTAAAATACCCTTAGAACCTCCAGCAGGTCCCTATTCTGGGATCTCTCACTGTTAGCACAGTATGGGTGAGCAGGTTGGGCACTGCCCTAGGCTGCTAGGCTTGGGGATGAGGAAGGCTGAAATCTGGCCTGTGCTGTACTTACCAGGCATCTCCAGGCCCAGCAAGGAGGTGTCCATCCCATAAGCCAGGGACAGCTCGGGATGTGGTTGGGCCTCGGGCCTGAGGGGCCACAGTGAGGGAGGCCTTGGGGACTGGAGGTCAGAGCTCAGGGTGTGTGAACGCTGACCTGCTCTCCTCCCTGGCCCAGATGGAGCCCAGGAACCTGGCCCTGGTCTTCGGGCCGACGCTGGTGAGGACGTCTGAGGACAACATGGCGGACATGGTGACCCACATGCCGGACCGCTATAAGATCGTGGAGACGCTGATCCAGCACGTAAGCAGCCATGCTGGGCTGTGGCCATGTGCCCCTGGGCATCTCGCTCCTGCGCGCCTGGGTGGATGTGCTCAGGGAAGGAGGAGGCGGCTTAAGCAAATGTTCCTGGGATGGTGAATGCCCTTCAGAAGCGATGGGCTGCATTTCCTTACCAAACAGGAATGGATCCTAGAATCCCTGTCTTTCTAGAATGTTTCGTTCCCAGCTGGAGAATCAGGAAGCCCTTGAGCTTCCAAGATATGTATGAGGGTCAGAGGGCGGAGGAACGTCAGGGAAGATGCTGCTGGGTTGGAGAGCCAAGGGGTGGATGCAGGGGCACCTTCAGAAAGGGGCCCCCAGGAGAAGTGTCCTGGCAGAAACGGGCAGACAGGTGTAGGGGGTGGGGGCAGAGCTCTGCCTTGCCGGCCACACTGAGGCTTCGGGGAGCAAATGGTGATGCCCAGGGGAGGGGAGGGGAGAGGGGCAGGGCAGAGCAAGGGCTGAGACGGATCCTGCACTCGTGCTCCCTACGTCTTGGGCTGGTCTCCTCACTTCTCAGGGCTGCCTGGAGGCACCTCCAGCCCCGGGTCTCTAAGGAGTCTACTGACTGTCCATGATGGGATGAGAACCTAGAGCAACCAACAGAGGGCGCAGGAGGCCTTGGTCCTCTGGAGCCAAACCCGGGACAGCACCGCCCCCTTCTGGGGCACTCAGGGATGTTTTTTGAAATCCTAGATTTTCCATTTCCAAATCTCCCTATGGCCTGTAAATGGAACGGACCCCGTCCTGCCAGGAGAAATAAGATTGGCAGCTGGCTAGGGGAACGGGGTCCTTGGCCTCCGCAATGTCACAGATGCTTTAGGGAAGGGCAACCAGGTCATGCTACTTCCATCTTATAGATGAAGAAACTGGTGCTCAGAGAGGAAAGGGACTTGCTCGAAGTCACATAGCTAATAAGTGACAGCCCCAGGATTGTAGGCCAGCCTTTTCTGACCAAAGTTTGTGCTTTCCTCTGCCCCTGCTGGGAGGGTGGACTCCTGGGTCCATCCTAGAGCTGACTTGGCTGGCCAAGTGAGGCGGTGGGGTAGACTTTGGTCATGCTGAATGGCCCTGCCTGCTTATTTCCTTCCTTTACTGGGTGGTCAGGGCTCTGAGCCTCAGGAGGGAATATCGAAGCCTGTTCTTGTGCTAACACTGGGACCACCACTCCAGAGCTGTGAGGGAAGCCCAGGCCGCGGGGCAGTGTCAGGGATCCCGATGGGGCCTCAGTCGGGGGCAGCTTATCTCCCTTGGAAAAGTTCATCTCCCCAACCCAACAGGTAGCCCCTGGAGCCCCCATGAGTGTGTGCTTTGGGAGGGGGCCAGTGCGGAAGAAAGGGGAGGCTGGCTCCATGGCTCCTAGAGAAGCCCCCGGAAGCCTGAGGCCTGTGGTCAGCTAAGGTGTCAGGAAGAGCAGCCTCTGGGAGAAGGGGGGCCCAAAGTGTGTCTACTTGCCCTCCCCTAGGCCCTCAAGAGGGGGTCCCCAGCCAGTGGCGGCCCCTCCTTTGGGCAGGGTGGCAGGAGGAGGAATATATCTGTCTCCATCATAGGAGTATTCCCAGCGTCCAGCCTAGTGCCTGGCACATAGTGAACACTCAGGGTTTGTTGAATGAATGAATGAATGAATGAATGAGTTGCTTTTGAGGTTCTACCCATCTGGGCTTTGACACTCAGGGATTCATTCCTGGGTACCCATGGAGCTAGAGACTCTCCATTCTCTGCGTCCTTGGCACTTGAACATAATCAGCCTGGACAGTTGTCAAGGGAATGAGCTACCCCCTCTGAAGTCCCCTGGAGTCCACCCACCCAAGTTTGCTGGTGTCCGTCTAGTCCAGAGTCAGCGTAGTCATGAGCCCAGGCAGGATAGGACTTTGGCAGAGAGCGCTCCGACTCTGGCTGGGAGCCTGTGGCCAGTCAGTGGATGGTTGAAAGTCGTGGGTGACATGACCTCCTGCTGGGTTTCCAGCCGCAGCTGTCACCTGGCCTCCCTACGGGGGGCTCCTGTCCCCTGTGGACCTCTCGGACAGCAGAGCTGGAAGGGGCCGTGAGGCCCCGAGACCCATCCTTGCGTGGTACAGAGGGCGGAAACGGGTGTGGAGAGAGGCAGCGACGTGCCCCGGGTCACACAGCACGATCGTGGTGGAGTGGAGATGCACAGACCCAGGTGTTCAGCCTCCCGGTGGCAAGTCACCAGCCAGCTCATGGCCACGTTCACTAAGCCACCTGAAACCCAAACCAAGACCGCCTCAAGGCATTCATTCCTTGATTCACCTGGCAAACTCCGTGATTCCTACTCGCTGCCCGCTGGGAGTTCTCCACCGCAGCGCTAGTGACCTTTGGGGCCAGATCATTCTTCGTGGGGGGCTGTCCTGTGCATCGGAGGATGGTTGGCATCTCTGGCTAGAAGCCAGGAGCATCCCTCCGGTTGCGACACATGCAAATGTCTGCAGACTTTGCCGAATGCCCTGCGGCCGGGGGCGGGGGGCAGACTCACCGAGGCTCAGAAGCACTGGGGCAGGGGGCTCGGGGCTCTGGCTCTGGAGCCGGCCTGCCCGAGTTCACCGCGGCCTCTGCTCCTTGCTGGCTGTGTGGCCTTGGCCAAGTGACTGATGCTCTCGTCTGCAGAGCAGAGAGAACAGCAATGCTTATTACCTCACGAAGTAGTTGCGAGGCTTCCGTGAGCTGATAGCCGCGAAGGCCCTCGGATGCCACCAAGCAGCTTGGACGTGCTGTGTGGATTAGTGATGGCGGACGACTGACCTCACTCCACGCCAGGGGCCGAGGCGCATGCTGGGCCCCGGAGGTGAACGGAAGCCAGGCCCTGCTCGGAAGGGGCGCTGCCCAGTGAAGACCTCACTTCATTTTCTGGGCTCTGGTCAGGGAAGCCCGTGGAAGGAGCCGACCCTGCCCGAGGTGTAGGGTTGGGACCCTAGTCAGGGCCTCCCTGAAGTGTTGTCAAAGGCCTCAAGGAATTTAGCCAGGCAGAGGCAGGAGAAAGCGTGGCAGGCAGAGGGAACTGGATGTGCATTCCTCCCGAGAACTCGGGGCTCCCCGAAGCTTCCTTCACACTTCTGGGCTCCCACAGCACTTTCAGGCACCCTCAAACTGAGTTAAAGACCGGCTCCTCAGGGCTCCTGTCCTCAGCCTGTCTCTGGGAACCGCACCTTTTCGTAATTACAGCTAACATCTATTACACACTAACAGTGCGTTGTACTGAGTGCTTTACATACCGTATTGCGTTATTTTTTAAAAATTTAAATGGAGGAGGGCACCTGGGTGGCTCAGGCGGTTAAGCGTCCGACTTGATTCTGGCTTAGGTCGTGATCTCGCGGTTGTGAGATGGAGCCCCGTGCTGGGCTCCACACTGGGTGTGGAGTGTGCTTGACATTCTCTCCCTCTGCCCCATCCCTCTCCTGCTCACACGCGTGCTCTCTCTCTCTCACAAAAAAAAATATTTATTTTTAATGGAGTTATAATGGACATGTAACATTCTATTAGTTTCAGGTATACAACAGAATGATTCGATATTTGTGTATGTTGTGAAATGATCAGCACTATAAGTCTAGTTACCACCCATCACTGTGCATAATTGCAATTGTTTTTCTTGTAATGAGAATTCTTTTTAAGATTTATTTATTTATTTTAGAGAAAGAAAGTGAGAGAGAGCAGGGGGAGGGGCAGAGGGGAAGAGAGAGAGAGAATCTCAAGCAGACTCCCCGCTGAGTGCAGACCCTGACAGTGGGGCTCAATCCCAGGACCCTGGGATCATGACCTGAGCAGAAATCAAGAGTCAGATGTTTAATGGACTGAGCCACCCAGGCGCCCCAAAGAGAATTTTTTTTTAAGATTTTATTTATTTATTTGAGAGAGAGAGAAGGGGAGAGAGAGAGAGCATGAGAGAGGGGAGGGTCAGAGGGAGAAGAAGACTCCCCGCCCAGCAGGGAGCCCGATGTGGGACTCTATCCCGGGACTCCAGGATCATGACCTGAGCCGAAGGCAGTGGCTTAACCAACTGAGCCACCCAGGAGCCCGAGAATTTTAAAGATTTATTCTCTTAGTAACTTCCAAGTACACAATACAGTGTTATTAACTATAGTCATCATGCTCTATACTACATCCCCATGACTTATTTATTTTATAATTGGAAGTTTGTACCTTTTGACCCCCTTCATCCCCTTGGTCCTCCCCCCACTCCTGGCAACCACAAACCTGTTCTCTCTACCTATGAGCTTGGATTTTGTTTGTCTGTTTGTTTGTTTTAGATTCCACATATAAGTGGAGAGTATACGGTATTTGTCTTTCTCTGTCTGACTTATTTCATTTAGCATAGTGCCCTCGAGGTCCACCCGTGTGGTCGCAAATGGCAAGATTTCCTTCTTTTTATGGCTGAGGAGTATTCCATTTCATATACATACCACATCTTCTTTATCCATTACTCCACTGATAGACACTCAGGTCGCTCCCCTATCTTGGCTATTGTAAATAATGTGCTGCAATGAACGTCAGGGTGCAGATATCTTTTCTTGTTGGTGTTTTTTTTTTTTTTCCTTCAGATAAATACCCAGAAGTGGAATTGCTGGATCCTAGGGTTGTTCTGTTTTTAACTTTTGAGGAGCCTCCATACTGGTTTCCATAGTGGCTAAGCCATTTTACATTTGCACCAACTGTGTGTGAAGGTTCCCTTTTCTCCCACATCCTCTCCAACACTCGGTATTTCTAGTCTTTTTTTATAATAGCCATACAGGATTTCATGTTAATTCTCACCACAATTCTAGAAGTAGATACTCCTATTATGTCCATTTTACAGATAAGTAAATAGACTCAGAGAGGTCATTTACCTGAGGTGAACTTGAGCCTGAGAAGACTGACTTTAGATCTTGCATTATTATTATTTTTTAAAGATTTTATTTTTATTTATTTGACAGAGAGAGAGACAGCCAGAGAGGGAACACAAGCAGGGGGAGCAGGAGAGGGAGAAGCAGGCTTCCCGCAGAGCAGGGAGCCCGATGCGGGGCTCGATCCTAGGACCCTGGGATCATGACCTGAGCTGAAGGCAGATGCCCAACGACTGAGCCACCCAGGCGCCCCATTGCATTATTTTTTTTTAAGATTTTATTTCTTTATTTGAGAGAGATGGAGAGAGAGAGCTCGCGTGTGCATGAACGCATGCGCGCAGGAGTTGGGAGGGGCAAAGGGAGAGAGAAAGAGAGAGAAGCAGACTCCCTGCTGAGCAGGGAGCCTGATGCGGGGCTCAATCCCAGGATCCAAGCTGAAGGCAGGTTAATGCTTAACCGACTGAGCCACCCAGGCACTCCTAGATCTTGCATTATTTCTTATTCTCTGTTTTCTTTCTTGTTTCTCTTCTGTGCTACTTATTTGGATTAATAATATGCCCGATTGTGATGAATAATAACTGAGGTTCATGGGACACGGTCATAATCAACCTGCAAGTCTCCTTGTTCCCCCATTCATTCCTACCCACTCTGCCCCCCCATAATGACCCACTCTAATAGGTTGATATGTGTCCTTCCAAACCAACTTTCTCCCTGCTTATTTTATTTATTTTTAAACAAACAGTATTTTATTTTATTAAGTAATCTCTATGCCCAACGTGGGGCTTGAACTCATGACCCCAAGATCAAGAGTTGCACCGTCTACCAACTGAACCGGCCAGGCGCCCCAAATATGCTGCATGTTTTATTTTTAATTTTTATTTTTTTTAAGATTTTATTTATTTATTTGAGAGACAGAGCGAGAGAGCACAGGGGGGAACAGCAGAGGGAGAGGGAGAAGCAGGCTCCCCGCTAAGCAGGGAGCCCCACATGGGGCTCAATTCCAGGATCCTGAGATCAAGACCTGAGCCGAAGACAGACGCTTAACCGACCGAGCCACCCAGGCACCCCTCTGTGTGTTTTAATTTTCAGTCAGTGAGCTTAGCTCATTTGCTTGATTCTAATTTCTGTACTGTTAGGGCTTATCTCTGCTATCTTAAATGTCATTTTCTCTTTACCCCATTTTCATTTTATCTCTCTTCAGTCTGTCCTACCTTGCTTTGGATGAACTGACTTTTATTTTCCTGATGTGAAAATTACACAATTTATAAAGTCCATACTGTGTTTAATCATACAATTATAACAGCCCATACTTACGTTTCCTTTTCACTGACAATTTCTAAACTCATCAATATCCATTGTCTTCCTTCCACCACATCTAAAAGCCAAGTACCTTGTGTATTCTCACTCATACGCAGAGAGGTTTCTCCCTCTGCGTTCAAAATCCACGGCGTCATGGAGATACTTTGTGTGTATTTGTATATGTGTGTGAGTATCCTTGCTTGGATCGACAATGGACTTTTCTACGCTACTATCCATCCTTACTTCTCAGAGCCTGTTGCTCCACCCTGGAGTCATTTCTTTATGAGCTCATGTACACAATTAAGAGAGTCTTTGTGCAGTAAGCTTTTTGATGTCTTAGAATAGCTGTAGTTCACATTCAAAAGTGAGAGTTTAGCAGGGTATAAAATCCTAGGTTCCAGATTCTTGCATTTGTAGTCCAGCAATACAGTGACAATATTGTCTTCTTGTGTCTGCTGCTGCCGAAAGTTCTAGTTACAGCTGATACTTGCTCATTTGCAAGCAATCTGTTTTTGTTTTTCAGAAAACTTTTAGGGTTTTATCTTTAAGATTCTCAAATTTCACAAAATGTATTTAAGAGTGGGATTTTTACTTTATTTTCTATCCTGTTTGACATTTATGTGAAAACCCTTGCCTGCCTGCCCCTCGGGGAACCTCCTAACACTTCCCTCCAGGCACTTCTCTTTCCTGGCCAGGGGAGGGGGTGCCGCCCCAGGGCAGTGTGGTGCCCAGGGCTGGGGAGGGGTACGCAGCTCTGGCAGCCACGACTGGCCTTCTCCCTGCAGTCACCCCAGCCGGCACTAGATGGCGCTGCTGCCCCCCACCCCCACCCTCCCGCTTCTGGCCTGCGGTTGGGAGAGATCCACCGTGATGCACACTGTACAGAGTCTAGTGACAGACAGGCCTAGAAGCTCTCCCTGAGCTGGCCCTCCACCAGTCCTCAGCCCCCTCCCAGTCCAGGCTGCGTTTCCCTCCCACACTGGGATCCAGTCCTTTCTCTCCCCACAGGTTTCTCATAGCCTGTGGAGTTGGGTCCTGGGATTCATCAACCTCCCTTGGGGACTTCTAGTAACCAGGTGCAGATGGGGATTGTTGAATAGAGGGGGGGACCCTCACCTCTTGGTGCCCCCTCCTGCCCCGCTCCATCTGGCGTCTGAGTGGGGTCTTCTGGACTATGCAGGTCAGGAGCCTGTGTCTCTGTCTTCCCTCAGCCCCTTTCCACACTGAGTTCACTTCCTTTTGTCTCCTCTGCAGTCAGACTGGTTCTTCAGCGATGATGAGGACAAGGGAGAGAGAGTAAGTGATGCAGAGGGAGGGCGGGGCTGGGTCTGAGCTGAGGTGGGCCCTCCTCCCAGGCTGGGGGCTGGGAGGGGGCAGGCAGCAAGACTCAAGCAGGGGGAAGGTCCCTGTCTTTGGGGCTTCCCAGTCTGATGGAGGAAACATAGACCCTCTCCTCAGGAGCCTCTAATCTAATGGGAGACACAATCCTTGCCTTCATGAGCCCCCAGTCTAAGGGGGGAGAAACTGAGTCCAAGTCTTATCTGGAGGATACAGGTCTTAGGAAGGTCCAGTCTGATGGGGGAGACACAGCTCCTGCCTTCAGCTGAGGGAGGAGCTCCAGCCTTTGGGGGTTCAATCAAGGTGTTGGAGGAGGCACAAAACAGTCTAATGGGGGACATGTGGGACCTGCCCTCAAGAGTGCCTGACTTATGAGAGAGACAGCAGCTGCCCTGGTGAGCCCTGGTCTGATGGAGGAGTCATGGGCCCTGCCTTCAGGTTACCCCAGTTTGCAGGATCCACAGTCTGGCCCTCTGAGGGCATGCTGGCTGACCCTCCTCCTGTTTGCAGACTCCTGTGGATGACAAGGAGCCTCAGTCAGTGCCCAACATTGAGTACCTCCTGCCTAACATTGGCAGGACAGTGCCCCCTGGTGACCCAGGTTCAGGTGAGTGCAGGGGCTTGGGAAAGGGTGGGGGGTGGGGGTGGGGGTGGGATCCGCATTCCCCAGGGTCCCAGATGCCTGGTCAGATGCCCAGCTTCCCTGCTGTGCCCCAGTGGGGCCCTTCCCTGCCCCCCACCACCAAGACTGGGCTGTGGCAGGGCCTTCTCCGCTCTAGGGAGGTCCGGCTTGCCTATGCGCCCGCCTCCTTGTCTGCTCAGCGGACCCCGGGGCTGGGTAGGGGCTTTGTTCGCCCTCCTTCACTGGTTTCCTTCCTGAGCTTTTTGTTTCTCACGGGCTGTGTCCTTCTGGGCATATTTCCTCTTTTTAATTTTTCTTCCTTTTCTCCTTGCACCCCTCCACCCTCCTCTCTCTTTTCCCTGTGCTCTCCTCCCGCCCCTGGACCCTGCCCCTCTCTTCTCTCCTTCCCCTCCTCCAGCGGACCTGTTGGAGATTTAAAGGGTACAGTGTGGCATTGCGGCCTCGGTCACTAACAGTGGCGGGTGATTATAAGAAGGCTGGGCAGGCCCGAGGGGCAGGCAGAAAGGTCCCGGGCTGTGAGCACCTCGACGTGACATACCAGCTCCCCACGCTTGTTAACAGCTTACCCCCACCCTAACCCTCCCATCTGAAAGCCCCTTCTCGGGAGGAAGGAGGTTTGTTGGAGGCAGATCCTATCCCCTTGCCAGGAAGTCTGGGCACCACAGGCTGCCTCCCACAGTCCCCAGACTCTGGCCTTCTCTCTGTGCCGAGCCCGGCCACTTCAGGTTATCCGGACAGGAGAAGGCTTGGCTGTAAGGAGGACCCAGCCTATCTAGACACGGGTGACGTCACCCCCAGAAGCCCCTCTATAGCTGCAGCTCCTGCCTCAGTTGCCTCCGAGGGCTGGCTCTTCCCGCATCTGAAACCAGAGCCCCTGGTCACTCAGCCCCTTAGTCCTGTTTCTGGGCATAGAGCCTCGAACAGAGTAGCCCAGAGCAGTCCCTTCTTGGCTCAAGGCACTAACTTGGCCCGCCCCATGGAGGAGCTCCCCTTAGTATTTTGACTGCTGCTCCTGTCTCTGATGGAGGCATTCCACAGCACCCCTAGTTCCCAGAGGCAGGCTGAGGAGGGGGCCAGAGGACAAGGTGGGAGGGGGTGGCAGAGAGGAGCCCCCCGTTTCTTCTAATCACCTGCTGCCGCACCCCTGCCCCGTGTGTTTCACTGTGTGGTCGGCCATCTGCTCTTCTCACTGTGTGCAGGGGAGGGCTGGGGAGGAGGACTCACTTGCTTGCCAGAGAGTGTGGATTAACTGTGCCCGCGCACTGCCCCATCAGACCCCGGGAGGTCCTTAGATCAGCCTGGAGAAGACCCTGCCAGGATTGGTTTCTGGTTCCTTCTCCACCCCAATGATATTAAGGGAGTGGGACCCAAGTCCCACGGATGTAAAAGTTTTATTCTTCTTCATAACTCTGGTAATAAACAGGGGCCTTGCCCCATCAGGGCAGATTGAGCTGGAGTCTGGAGCTGGAGCTTAGCAAGGCCCAAATCACCAGCCCACTCTACCTCCTGTGTCCCGCCCACCTGCTGTCCGCCCCTGTACCCCATCCTACACAGGGTCCGTCGTCTTCCTCCTGTCCTGGAGTTGGGGTGGGGTGGAGGTAGATGTAGGGCCCCCACCTGTCTCTGCACTGTGTGGTCTCCATTCCTTCAGAGCATCTGTGATTTGCTGTGTTTCATTGTGGTTTCTGTGGACTGCATCTGATATTTGGCATTTTCTCTCCAGTGCTTCAGAGTAACAGGGACGGGAGGGGAGGGGAGAGGAACTAGGCCCAAAGAAAAGCCCCCCCCCCCCCACCGCTTGCCCTTGACCCTGGCAAACGAGGGTCTAGGGACTGGCAGCCTGATGTCACTTCCTGCCCCCAAAGGAAGTGGTGATTGACATCATTAGCCGCTCCATCCCTGTCCCACAGGAAATGACATCAGAAGCCCTTCACACTCCCAGGGCCTGGGGAGATCTCAGGTGTCTGAACTCCCTGGTTTCTGAAGCCTCCGAGGAGAGGGAATCGTGTTCACAAGACAGCCTCCTCCTGCCCCAATTTAACTTTCATTTTTCTTTCTCGCTCTCCCCAACAGATTCCACCACCTGCAGTTCAGCCAAGTCCAAGGTGAGTGCCAAAGCCATTCTGAAGGCTTTATCCCTGTCCAGGCCCGCCTGCTCTTTGCTTTTTGGTCAAGGGAATTGGGAGAAGTGCCCGTGGCCCTGAGGAAGGTTGCTGGTCACTGGGAAGGCAGGTGGGAAGGAATGTGCGTATGAGGTCAGCAGAGAAGCTACTCACCTTGGCAGTGCTTCGGGAGGCGTCTGGGGGAAGAGAAGGATCTGGCTTGGGAGTTAGGCGCCCGGGGGGCAGCGTGCCCAGTGGTCAGAAGCACACACAGTCCTGGGACTGAGTCCTGGCTCCACCACTCAGTAGCTTCGGGACATCGGGCAAGTTGCTTAACCTCTTTGTGAACCTCAGCTTCCTCATCTGTAAATGGGGCCTGATATTTATCCCCATTTATGGGGATATGGGAATGGCCAGATACGTCTGCTACAATAACTATGCTTTTTGGAGAGCCCAAAGCAAACAGAAGGAAGGAAATAATAAAGACAAGAGCATCAATCAATGAATTGAAAACAATCAAGAAAATCAATGAAACCAAAGCTGGTTCTTTGAACCAGCTCTCACAGCCAGCTAGTCCTGGCTGCTCTGGAGCCTGCCTTCTGAGACAGAGCCATTAGGCGAGCACGGCTGCCCAACTCTTAGAGCTGGATGGCCAAGGGAGTTGTCTTAGTCAGCTCGGGCTGCCGTAACTAAATGCCACATACTGGGTGGCTTACACAACAGACATCTATTTCTTCACAGTTCTCGAGGCTAGATGTCCCAGATCAAGGTGTCAGCATGGTCAGTTTGTGCTGAGAGCTCTCTTCCTGTCTTGTGGATGGCTGCCTTCTCGCTCTGTCCTCATAGAGCAGAGACAGAGAGCAACAGCACCAGCTCTCTGGTGTCTCTTTGTGTAAGAACACCAATGCCACCATCAGGCCATGACTGCATTACCCGCCAAAGGCCCCATCTCCAAATACACGGGGGTCCCGGCTTGCTTCAGCAGATGGCTTCGGGGAGGGGGACACAATTCTGTCTGTAGTAGTGGGTGAAATCACTAAACATTGGTGATCGAACTGGACTCATTTCGGTCTGGGTCTCCAAGCACTGGCCAGGTCCCAGTGAGCCCAGTGTGCCCAACACCAAGTAGATGCTCATTATATATCAGAAGAATATAGTGGGGGTTCGGGGCGCCTGGGGGGCCCAGTCGGTGAAGTATCCAACTCTTGATTTCGGCTCAGGTCATGATCTCGGGGTCGTCAGATAGAGCCGCGTGGTGGGCTCTGTGCTGGGCGTGGAGCCTGCTTGGGATTCTCTTTCTCCCTCTCCCTCTGCCCCTCCCCTCCCCTCCCTACCTGCATGCTCGCTCTCTCTCTCAAAAAAAAAAAAAAAAAAAGAAAGAAAGAAAGAAAAAGAAGAAGAGTGTACTGGGCAGAAAGAAAGAAGGCTGCTTTAGTCTGGGACAGAGGTTCCTGCAACCTTTCCATAGAACCTCTGACTGCACACCTGTGGGGCAGGGCGCTCACTCCATCAGAAGATTGCTGTGACAGGGAGCAAGTTCATTATAGTGACCTGCACCTAGCTCCATGTTACTTCCACCCATTGCTCCTGCTAGCCTCCTGGCTTCCATAGCCTCTCCTGGGCTGACCCCTTGACCTTTCTGTGCACGTACTGACCTCTGCATTCCTGGAAGGGACCATCATGACCTCACTGCTTCTGTAACTAGCAGGAGGAGAGGATAATTCGATCAGATGGTCCTAGTGGCCTCTCAAGTCTCTCCGAGAGCATTGGCCAGACGAGAAAGTGGCACTGGCCACCCTGTGCCTCGGGGAGATCACAGCAGAGCCCCCATATTGCACAACTCCAAGGATTGCCTTTGGGAGCCGTGTTGCCAGCCACGGCCCGGGAGCCACGTGCCTCTGAATCCTGACTCCCTGACGTGTGTCACCTTTCTCAGAACTAGCTGATGTGAGAGAGAGTATGTAGATAGCAGGGGCGAGGCTTCTCTGGGTCTCCATTCAGTATTACGCTGTGGCTGAACCAGGTGGCCTGTGAGGAGGGGTCACAGGGCAGGCCATTCCAGCCCAGCAGGGGGAGCAGTTTCAGCCTCTGCTTCCGCAGGGCTTCCTGTGTTGAGGGGACTGCATTCACCCATGTGTCCTTCACTTAACATTTATTGAGCACCTGTTAGGTGCCAGGCATGGAGCTAGGGGTCATGGATGCAAACACAAATAAGCCACAGACCTTGCCCTCAAGGAGCTCAGAGTTTGATGCAGATGACGTGGAAATAGACCTATCCTGATGGGAGAAGAGCAGGTGCAGCTGTGTTTTCAAAGGGCGAGGCGAGGGCTGGGAGGCGGCCGCACGGAGGCTGCCATGTTTCAGCTGGGCCTAGTAGGATTTAGAGCACACCCAGCACATAGGGTGGGCTGGGGGGCGGTGGCTAAGGGCTGCCAGTGTTAAAATGCAGGTGAGTCTGGCCGGAGTGTAGGCTGGGTTGGGGTTGGGGTTGGGGTAGGGAGGGCCATAGGCTGGGAAAGTTGGGACCAGATTGTGAAGGGCCCTGTGTCTGAGCTTCATCCTGGTGGGGGTGGAGGGGCCCTGCAGAGTCTGGAGGTGATCAGATTCCCACCTAGTCTTAGAAGGACTGATTGCTCTAGGGGAGGAGGGACTGGGGTAAGGCAAAAGTGGAGGCAGGGAGTCCTATCAGGAGAGGGCAGAAAGGCCCAGAAAAGGCCGTGTGAGGGCCTGAAAAGACGATGGTGAGGATGGGCGGGCTTTGCGAGTCACTTCAGGGGCATTGAGAAGAAGCAGGGGAGAGGGAGGAGGCAGAGAATCACCTTAAGATGGGGAACGTGCATGCAGGTGGTTTGGGGCAGGGCGTGGGGGCATAGTGCAGTTGCAGATAGGTGAATTTCGGGTGCCTGCAGAAACCTTGCTTGAGAGGGTCTTGCGGTTGGAAGAAGAGTTCTGGAGTTCAAGGGGGAGTTTGGTGTTGGCCGGTGATGGGCAGCGTGGGCTCGGCTGGGGCATCCGGGAAGGCTAGCACAAGAAAACACCCACAGGGCTGAGCAGTGAGAACGGGGCAGGAAGGTGCCCAGTGTGGGGTTGGAAATCAGTGTTTGGGAGCAGCATCCATCCAGACCATCGGATTGTGCAGGATCGTGTGGCCACTCCTGGCGGCAGAGCTGACGGCTGCATTGATGTGGGGATGCGGATTGTGGGTGGCGCGCTGGTGGATTGGCTGAAACACCCGCCGTGGGCTGCAGTGGGAAAGGGAAGTGAACTTGGGCCTATTGCCCTGGAGAGGCCCATACATACGGAGTAGGTGGAAAGGCAGGTTTCCCAGGTGGGGGTGAGTGGAGATGGAAGGGGTAGAAGCCGCGGTCGGAGGGAGGTCCCCGCCAGGATCTGGTGGTTATCACCCGGGACAGTCTAGGTGAAATGGGTTCAAACTGTCAAGTGTATTCCCTGTTGAGAGACTCTTACCCCCAGAGCCGTGTCTAAAAGGCTTTCGCTAGCGCTGGGCATGGGGAATGGAGCGGAAGGTGGGCGGAGGTGAGGGACCGGCGCCCAGCTCCCAGGAAAGAGCCGAGAGTCTCTGGATTGAGGCCAGAGCGGCTGCCGAGGGGGCTGCGGGGTTGGCCGGCCCCCCGGTGGGGCCGGGTGGGTGGTGGCGCTGCCGCGGGCACAGCCGTCGGGGAGGAGCGGCGGGGGCGCGGTGCGGAGGCGCCTCCTGCATTCTGGCCTGTCTCCCGCGCAGGGCTCGTGGGCCCCCAAGAAGGAGCCGTACGCCCGGGAGATGCTGGCGATCTCCTTCATCTCGGCGGTCAACCGCAAGCGGAAGAAGCGGCGGGAGGCGCGGGGGCTGGGCAGCAGCACCGACGACGACTCGGAGCAGGAGGCGCACAAGCCCGAGGCGGGGGCGCCGGCGCCGGGGGCGCGGGACCAGCCGCAGGGGCCGCTGCCGGGCGCCGCCGCCGCCGCCGTCCCCCCCGAGGCCGCCGGCCGCCTCAGCCCCCCGGCGGCGCCGGACGAGCGGCCGGCCGCGGACACGCGCTCCATCGTCTCGGGCTACTCCACCCTGTCCACCATGGACCGCAGCGTGTGCTCGGGCGCGGGCGGCCGGCGGCCGGGCGCGGGGGACGAGGCGGACGACGAGCGCAGCGAGCTGAGCCACGTGGAGACGGACACGGAGGCCGGCGCGGGGCCCGGGGGGCGCCCGGCGCGCCGGCCGTCCTTCAGCTCGCACCGCCTCATGCCCTGCGACACCCTGGCGCGCCGCCGCCTGGCCCGCAGCCGCCCGGACGCCGAGGGCGCGGGCGCGGGCGCGGGCGCGGGCGCGGGCGCCGGCAGGGGCGGTCCCCGCGCCGCGGAGCCGCCGGGCTCGGCCTCGTCCAGCAGCCAGGAGTCGCTGCGCCCCCTGGCGGCGGCGGCGGCGGCGGCGGCGGCGGCGCTGGGCTCGCGGCCGTCGCGCATCGAGGCGCTGCGGCTGCGCCTCCGCGGCACCGCCGACGACATGCTGGCCGTGCGGCTGCGGCGGCCGCTGTCGCCCGAGACGCGGCGGCGCCGGAGCAGCTGGCGGCGCCACACGGTGGTGGTGCAGAGCCCGCTGACCGACCTCAACTTCAACGAGTGGAAGGAGCTGGGCGGCGGCGGCGGCCCCCCGGAGCCCGCGGGCCCTCGGGCGCACAGCGACAACAAGGACTCGGGCCTCAGCAGCCTGGAGTCCACCAAGGCGCGGGCCCCGTCGTCCGCGGCCTCGCTGCCGCCCGGCGACCCGGGGCCCCTGCAGAGCCAGCCGCCGCGCCGCTCGGCCGCCTCCCGCCTCCACCAGTGTCTGTGACCGGCCGCCCTGCCCCAGTCTTCCCTGGCTCGCACGCCCTCCTCTCGCCCCGCGGCGCGTCTGGCGCTGCAGGCCGCGCCTCCCTCGTTTGTGTGCGGGGGTGGGTAGTAGGCGGGCAGGCGAGAAGGCCCGGCTGGCCGCGCGGTGGGAGGGAGGGGACCCCGGAGGGAAGGGGTAGGGGGCGGAGACGAGAGGGGACAGGCTGCTGGGGGCTGTGTGGCGGAGTGGGTCCTTCTGTGTCTGCACTTAGAGACCCTTGTTGGCCGTGGGGTGTGGATAGGGAACCCCCAAGCCTCAGACTAAAGGAAAGACACAGGGTGATGCTGGCTCTTGGCTTCTTTCCCCCGCCCCTGTCCGTTAGCTCCCAGCTCCTCGCCGAGGGGAAGGGGGTGACTGTATGCCAGGGGAGAAGAGATGGAGCTGGGTGGTGTCCCCAGGGGAGAGGGGCCTGTGGGCCAGTGCACGAGTCACTGTCAGAAGGCGTTTCCGTAGCAACTGCTGCCACTCCTGCCCCACCACGCACACCAGGGCGCCCTGCCCTTGCTGCCTCCAGGGATCCTGCCTCTGCTGCTTGTCGGAGCCAGGGAAGGAAGTTAGGGCCGCTCCACGGAGGCAGGACTGAGACTCTTACCAGGGTTACTCCCCTCACCAACTTTTTGCCAACCCCTAAACAATCCTCGCTAAGCGTGTTGACCATGGGGAGCTAGCTGCCGGTTCCCCAGAGACTTCGGGGAGGGTCCAGGGTCCCCCTCCCCCCGCCACCACTTCCCCAGACCTCCCTTGCCTGTCTTTTCCTTCTAGCTATGCCTGCTTCTTCCACAACCCAGGCACACAGACCCCACCTTCTTCCTTTAGGAGGGGGCGTAGGAAACAACCCTGGTGTCTCACTCTCTCTCTTTCTCTCTCCCTCCCTCCTCTCTCTCACACCACACACACACACACACACACGCACATACACACACACACTGATTTATGGGGTCTGAGCTGGGCTGTTCCTTCAGGATGGGCGGGACCCAGCCCCCTCTTCTCCCCACACTTTGTAAATAGACCTCAGACCACCAGGCCTCCCCACACATGCCCTCACTTATTCCAGGGAAGCCCGGGCGGGGTTGTGAACCCCACTGCCACGTCTGTCGGTCCTCTTGTTTTATGCAAAGATTTGCTGTAAAGTAGATTTCTCTCTCTTCCCTCCCTGATCCTTTTATTGTAAATATTGTCTCTAAATGTGTAACATATTATAAAGAATTTATAAGGATTTTTAAAGATGTTTTGCTCATTTAAAAAAGTGTTGTAACAGTGTTGGATAAGCCTCTGGCCCCACGTGCGCATGTCTCCTTTCACTGTGTCCTTGACACACCTCTCTAGGCGACAACTAAGATTTCCTGCTTCTGAAAAGTCCTGTCTTAAAAGTATAGTCTCTATCTTGGAAATAAATGGCCTTCCTCAAGGCACGAGTCAGCTGTGTCGCTTGTTTCGGAAGGAGGGAAGGGCAGGAGTGGAGCTGCGATGGGAAAGGGGGGAGGGGCTGGACCGGGTGCTGGCCGAGTGGAGACACACCTCTGCCTCCTGCTAGCTTTGTAGGTATCCTTGGGGACTCGCATGAGCAATGACATGGGCATGGAATACAAGCCGGAAGGGTGGCCGACCCTCATTGCTGCAAGAGGTTGCCATGTGCTTTCTGGATTCCCCTAGAGTCCAGGTAGGTGCACAGGCACCTTCCTTCTCAGGCCTGCCTAGACCTTCAGAAAGGTCCAGAGGTGCTGCCCAGCAGAAGGAGGCTTGGGCAAGGCCCAGGCCACTGATAGGCCCATCCCGGCTGGCTGTCACCAAGGGCACTCCAGGCCCATGCGGTATCCCGAGAGAACAAGAATGGGTTTTGTCCATTGTCTTATCCCACATGTGTAAGTTTACAACATGGATGGGCTTTCTTTTCTTTTCTTTTTTTTTTTTTTTAAGATTTTATTTATTTATTTGAGAGAGAGAGAATGAGAGACAGAGAGCATGAGAGGGAGGAGGGTCGGAGGGAGAAGCAGATTCCCCGCCGAGCAGGGAGCCCGATGCGGGACTCAATCCCGGGACTCCAGGATCATGACCTGAGCCGAAGGCAGTCGCTCAACCGACTGAGCCACCCAGGCGCCCCAGGATGGGCTTTCTTCAATGTCATGGCTCTAGAGGTGCCTCTGCGAGCTTCCAGGCTGCCTCTGATGAGCATCCTGTAGGAAAAGCAGGTGACATTCCTCTAAGAGAAACTAGGGGAGAGCCCTGGAGCTGGGTAGAGCTCACTCACTGAATCCTCCTTCCTTTCTCTCCCCTCCCCTACCCCCAGGTTGTTTTTGTTTGGCAAATGAGCTCACTGCTAGTGTGGGCTCACACCGGCCCCAAGGCCTAACTCAGTCCTGCAACACTTTTGAGCTCCGCATCATTGTTATCTCCATTTTATACAGGAGGAAACTAAGGCACAGAGAAATGACATGACCTGTCCAAGGTCACACAGCTAATAAGCTGGTGGGGCCAGGATAAATGTAAGCCCAGAGAAAGGACATAAGCCTAAGGTTACCTGCCCATTGGGACACCTTCTCCAGGCTGTAGTAGGCTTTGGATGAGAAATAATCAAACCCCTGTGCTCTCCAAAAACAACGAGAAATGAAGACATCTCCAGAAAGGAAAAACAATTTGTCATTAGCAGGCTTGCCCTAGGAGAAATACTCTAGGGAGCCCTACGAGCCGAAATGAAAGTACACTCAATGGTAACTTGAAAACACACAACGAAATGAAGAGCGTCAGCAAGGGTAACCACATAGATATAATGAAAGACAGTATAAACACTTCTGTTTGTAATGCTTTTCTTCTTTTGTCTTTAACTCATTTTTTGTCTTTAAAAGGCAGCTTCCTAGGGGTTCCTGGCCAGCTTAGTCGGTAAAGCATCCGACTCTTGATCTCGGGGTCATAAGTTCAAGCCTCACTTTGGGCATGGAGCGTACTTTAAAATAAAATGAAATTTCAAGCCCATTATTTAAAAAAATAAATAAAAGGCAACTGCATAAAACAATAATCACAAAACTGTGTTGGCAGGCTTATAACCTGTACGGATGAGATCTGTAAGACAGTAATCATACAAAGGTGTGGGGAGGGAATGGGGCTAGACTGAAGCAGAGTTTTTATACACTATTAAAATTAACTTAGTATTTATCCAAACTATATTGTTTATTTTTGTAGTTTGTTTGTTTGTTTGTTTATTTTAGTAACCACTACACCCAATGTGCGGCTCGAACCCATGACCCTGAGATCAAGAGTCACACTCTTCATCTTCTGAATGAACCAGCCAGGCAACCCAAATCAAAACTATATTGTGTTAAGTGAAGATGCTGCTAATTGTAATGCCCAGGGCAACCCCTAAGAAGATAATTCCGAAAAACACTGTAAATGAAACAGGGAATTAAAAAGATACACTAGGGGCGCCGGGGTGGCTCAGTTGGTTAAGCGACTGCCTTCGGCTCAGGCCATGATCTCGGGGTCCTTGGATTGAGTCCCGCATCGGGCTCCCTGCTCAGCAGGGAGTCTGCTTCTCCCTCTGTACTCTCTCAAGTAAATAAATAAAATCTTTAAAAAAAAATACACTAGAAAATATCTATCTTAACAAAAGAAGGCAGGAATCAAGAAATAGAAAACAAAAAAAGAAACCCATAAGACATGAAAAAAAATAGCAAAATGGCAGACATAAATCTTACCTTCTCAGTAGTTACATGGAACGTAAATGGTCCAAACAGCCCAATCAAAGGCAGGGAGCGAAGAATAGATTTAAACACATGATCGAACTATATGCTGTTTATAAGGAATTTACTTTAGGTTCAAAGGCACAAAAATGTTTAAAGTAAAAGGGTGGAAATAGATGCCACACAGAGTTACCAACAGAGAGCTGGGGTAGCTATGCAAGTTTGAGACAAAACAGGTATTGAGGAGACAAAAATTATTACTTGAGACAAGAAGGACATTTATAATGATAAGAGGGTCTATCAAGAAGATAAAATTATTGTAAGTATATATGCTTCTAACAACAAAATTTGGAGCAAAAACTAACAATTGAAGGGAAAGTAGACAATTCAAAATAATGGTTGGAGACTTCGATACCCACCTTCAATAACAGGTAGAACCACTAGGCAGAAGATCAGTAACACTGTAAACCAACTAGACCTAACAGATATCTAAAGAAGACTCCAGGGGCACCTGGGTGGCTCAGTCGGTTAAGGGTCTGCCTTTGGCTCAGGTCATGATCCCAGGGTCCTGGGATCGAGCCCCGCATCGGGCTCCCTGCTCAGTGGGGAGTCTGCTTCTCCCTCTCCCTCTGCTGCTCCCCCTGCTTGTGCTCTCTCTCTCTCTGTGTCAAATAAATAAATAAAATATTAAAAAAAAAAAAAAAGAAGACTCCATCCAACAACAGCAGAATACACATCTTTCTCAAGTGCACATGGAACATTCTCCAGGATAGACCGTATGTTGGCCATAAAACAAGCCTCAATAAATTTGAGGATTGAAATCACATGAAGTTTGTTCTCCAACCACAGTGGAATTAAATCAGAAATTAATAACAGAAGGGGTGCCTGGTGGCTCAGTCGGTTAAGCATCTGACTCCTGATTTCGGCTCAGGTCATGATCTCAGAGTTGCGAGATCGAGCCCTGCATCAGGCTCCATGCTCAGTGGGGGAGTCTGCTTGGGATTCTCTCTAACCCTCTCCCTTCCCCGCTCCCCCCCCAATAATAAATAAATAAATCTTAAAAAAAATTAGTGCAGCAGAAATAGTGGGAAGTTCACAAATATGTAGAAATAGAAAAGTTCACTCCTAAATAATCAGTGGGTCAAAGGAGAAATCACAGGGGAAATTAGAAATACCTAAAAGCAAATGAAAGCAAAAACAACATATGTAAGTGTATGGGATGCAGCCAAAGCCGTGTTTCAAGGGAAATTTATAGCTGTTAATATCTGTATTAGAAAAGAAGAAAGATTTCAAGTCAATAACCTAACCTTTCACCTTAAGTTACTAGAAAGAGAAGAGCAAACTAAACCTAAAGCAAGCCGAAGGAAGGACATAATAAAGATAAGCATGGAAATAAATAAAATAGAAAATAGGAAAAAATGGAGAAAATCAATAAGA